CTTCTAAAAATTGTTCAGTAGGAGTTAGTTCCTAAGGTTAAACACACACAAATACCACCATGTACCATCTTCTCAGGCCGTTTGACTCAAGTGTGGAATAAGGAATGGGAGGTTACCTTGTAGGTGAAGGTGGGGAGGGGGGTACCTGCTAGTATTCATCTATTGGTTTGCATCAGTTGTTGAAAGATTTTTACTACTCGCAAAAGTAACGTTATCATGTCCAGTTTTTGTTTCTAAATATATTACTGATTTATCTCAGTTCCGGTTGATAAAAATTAATAGACATCCCGCTGTGCATTCCATGCTGTTTGCATAATATGTTTGTATAGAGTATTTACTGTTACATGTACATGTATGTACCAGATATGTGGAGTCATAGGGTATAGCTTGTATTTTGCTAACAAAACCATCTGGACATTAAATTAAAGGCTTACATGGTATTACAAATGAATCACATGTGAAAATGTTGCTTATTATATTTCAGTCCATACCATGGTATGGATGAAATATATTGTGTTCTCTGGTGTTTCTTCTTCTCCTCCTCCTTCTCCTCCTCCTGCCAAACAGTCAAAGGGATTCAACTCCGCCATCATTCAGCCAAATGACTTGAAATTTGGCATGGAGGTAGAGTAGGCCAATACCCCAGGCGTTTTTTTCATTTTTTTGATACATGCCTTTGAAAAATTTTTATGAAGGTTTTTTTGGGCATTTTTCGCCAAAAAATGGATTTTTGGATCCTGAGCCCTGGTTTTACAACCAAATGATCTGAAATTCGGTATACGGGTACCTTGAACATGTGTCTACAGAATAGCAGTCACATATTTGGCATACACCACTTCCAAATGACTCATTTGGAGGACTTTAATGGCTATTTTCAGCAAAAAAAGGGCCAAAAGTGCTGTACCCGTTCCATGTTCTATCTAAAGAATGGCCAGTTCCATCCATGGAACACGTGTTCCATAGCGGGTTACCTGAGGTCACATTGCACGTAAGTCATGCGGAATGACCCACACATTCAATTTTATGTGCCTAAGACCTTCAAAATGTATCAAATCTCATCATTGTTAGTATTTGCATACCTGTAATAAGACTAGTAAAGCTTTCGAGATTCAATGTGCTTGATCTTGCATCTTTGTTCTCAATTACATACCTACTACTACTACTGTATATAATTCATTTATTTGAGAATCTTTGCCAGTTTTACACTGGGGTAAGTTTGGAATAGTCCACTTTTGCGTGGGAGGGAGATGGACTGAAATATGCTGTATTTGCTCCCAAGCAAATGTCGGCCTCTCTAGTTTGTCTTTGTGATTGTGCAGTATATAGGTAATTGTTGGATTGGAGAGCACTATGGCCCATTCTGTAAATTCACACTAAAGTTTACTCAGGTTACAAACTTACATGGCCAAAAGGATTGCCTGAAATTTCTGAAGTACAGATTAAATGAATACACAGCACACAACAGGTTTTACTAAAAAATATATGTAACTTTTTAATAGAACATTGTTTGAACAGGAACTACATGTCAAACTAGAATATGGGCAACAACAAAAAGGTGTTAGTTATTTAAAGGACCGGTTAACTTCCAACATTTTTGGTCTCTACCTCACAAATAGCCCGTTTCTCCAAAACTTGAACAAGTATCCAATACTTCTTGCTGGTAAGATATTTATCTGAGTGAATGAAAACGTTGCCTTCTCTGTGATACTAAACAAGATTTACATGTATATCCTTTTATCATCATGGCCAATTATCGATGAACAAACTATAAGTCTAACAGAAAACAACCTTAACATTTTTATAGGTAACCGTTTGACCTTCCGATTGCTCAGTCTGACTCTCACATAATCACTGATCCTGTTACATGATCTCAGCACATTGGCAGAACGTACTGCAGCTGCGCAAAACTCAGAATGTATTAGGCAGAACGTCTCATATAACGTCGTATAAGGTTAACATCACGTCTGTAGTATCCAAATGTTATGTCGGAAAAAATATCTTCTGTAACAGGTAAAATTCTAATGCAACGTTGACGAAAAATCCAACGAAAAACCATGAAAAAGCAGGGTTTCGCGCAGGTGCGGTACGTTCAGCCGACGTGCTAATGATCCCTAAGATGCTGTCACATCACAGAGCCACTGTCACATGACGAATGACACATGATCATGATCACATGCACCCAGATTTTGTAACATGATCACTGAGTCTCACTCCTTTCTTTAGACATTTGAACATTACAGTATAGTGACCTGACCTTGCACATTTAATGAGCCTCCAGCATTTTCAAAGCAGAAAATAAACTTTTTGCCATTACCTTATTGCCATGATTGAACACTTTGTACTCGTACAAAATGTTTCACTTCTACGTGATAACAGAAAAAAGTAACAGCCATGACTTAATATATTATGTACCTTCCACTTCTGCACATAACAAGCCAGCAGTCTGATGAACAGGCTGAGCCTATGGTACCCTGGGAACCAGACTCATGAGGCTGTGGGCGGAGAATTCACGTGTGCGCATGATGTTCCATCCCACCTCTCCCACTATCCACTGGGCCAAACATACACAAAACCTCTAGGCCACGTTATGCAAAAAATATGCAGGCCCTTAGGTCAGCCGGTGGGATACTATGGGACACCACTTGCCTGTACCCTTACTGGTCTGGTTCCCAGGGTAAACCTATAGGCACCACAAATTAAGGCATCTCTTCAAGCACCAAAGTACAAAGTGACACAACAAACATTTTGTTTCTGTGCCTGGCACAACAGTCCTTCTGTTATATATCGGCTACAATAATCCTTTCACTGATACATACTTGTTGTACTGCTATACCTTCAACAATAATTCTATTATGCTTTCTACAGCAACTCTTTCCCTTTTGTGCCAGGTACAACCAGCCTACTGCTGTACCTGCAGCTTCTACAAACATTCTTCTATTGCTGTACTTGTTACAACCATTCTACTGCTGTACCAGCCACTACTACAACTCAATTCTCCTGCTATATCTGTTACAACAAGCCTCCTCCTGTGTCTTTACTACAACAGCCCTTCCAATCTTCCACTCAGCCAGTCTTGAAGTTTGTTGCTGACGGCTGCAGCAGCTGGGTTCTGTATGCACAGATCAGCAGCTTGGCCTGGAGGGTGAAGGAACGATCAGGGAAGAGTCAATAACTTATAAAACATAATATATAAGGAAAGGGCTCTAATTATGAACATACAGTATGTGCAGTAGCATGCAGTGGCCATGGAGTGCCCTAGTGGCTCAACAACTGAGCAGTTACCGGTATAAGGTTGGGGGTTGAAATCCTGGCCTGATGTGCACACCATAGGGATTTGCAGTGTCATATAGAAGATGTAATAATAATAGTAAATGTAATTCAGCAGCCATGTTGCTAGAAAAGAAATCGGCTCCCCTGTCATGACCTTCTGGGGAGAAAGAAGAGAGCTGTACTGACCTTGGACAGGGGAGCAGAGGCCAGCTTGACCTTGAGGTTGTTCTTGCCAGGACGAGGACAGAACGACATGATGAAGTTGGCTTCCTGTGAACAACAAGGAAAGCAGTATCATGTACAAGGCCTTCAGTCTGGTCTCAGGGTTGATATCTTGAAAACCTGATGGGGCCTAGGAAAAAAAAGTTGTGTTTCCTGTTTCAGTCCCCCCAAAAATTAGGGTCAGTAGGTAGGGGTTAACTTTTTTTTCTGTTTTTTAGTGATATCTACATTCATATGGGTCCATCTAATAGAAAGTAAAATTTTCATGAGGACACTTTTATTTTCAAGGTCAATGTTAGAAAACCAATAATTATTGCACAATGTTTTATCACTCATGTGTCAGATCATGGAGCTAAAAAAGGCTGATCAGGGGTCCACCCCCCTAAAAAGTCTAGGGTCGATCTGGAAGCAAGAAACACATTCAACATTTTTTTTCCTAGGCCAAGCCACCTGTTATATGAATCCTTTCTAACATGTGGTAACTTTCAATAAATAAAAAAAAATGTCCTTACCTGTGTGAGAGCCGGCTGGATGATATTGTTCAGCACGACAGTCTGGACGGCACACGGCCCATGCAGCCTCACCTGGATGTTGTTGTTGGCAAAGGAGGCGTGGCACAAAAATAACAGCATCCCCACACCTGGAACATGTGACAACATCAATCGTGAGAGGTTTCTGGGATTCTGAACCCATCTCATGGTCTGTTCTTGTCACATGGTTATTCCACCTAATAACAGAAGGAGGGAAAAAGGGAGGGGGGGGGGCAAGAATGATGGGTTAGGAAGTGAAGTCACCTGAACGCCACCTGAACAGGGGAGGGGTGAGGGTGAAAACTATTTAGTAACTATAGAATGATATTATTATATAGACTGGTTTATTTGCAGAAACACACATACATACATAGTACAGTAGGTTAGAAGCTTTTTGCAGCCAAAGGCTGAATTGAGAAGCTTTTACAAATTTTTAAAAAATTACATGACTAATACATAATATATATACATAAAAAGTGCCTTGAGAGGCATTAAACACCACTTATACGCTAGAATAATACACATTTATGCTAAAATTACATCATACAACTTCTGTTGGCAAATTACTTAGGTACAACTGACAATAATAAAAAAGTACAAATACATCGTGTGCAACAACATAAAATGAAATCTACTGTATGGCAAGGTTATTCAGTATGTTCAGCATAGTGGGGACAGGACTGCATAAATATCTTGATACATGACATGCTATGCACAATACATTATGGGTTTTGCGCACGTCTTGCAGAATGTTTTGCCGAAGTGCTAATTAATGTATAATGTCCTTGGTATTACAGATTGCCTAGCCAAGCCTGCCCAGGCCTGAGTCTTCCCTGCCCAGCCCACCAGGCATGTTGATAGCCCCTGCTGAGTCAGTGTAAAAGATAGCCTGACCCTCAGGGGCTGTTAATGGCTCTCCTGCCAGACCATCTTGTTCCAATCTTGACTGATGGCTCCCATCTCCCCAGTCCTAACAGCATTAGAGTGACCAGTTATGACTCTAAACATTGTTACAGTTTAACCTGGTAACCTTCTCAACACATAGCAGGTATACAGTTCTCTGCAGCAGCCTATTACTGATGATCAGCAATTCTACAATACCAGTAGCTAGCATGTCTCTGAACAGAATGCATCTTGAGTTTCGTGCTTGAGTGAATCTACTATAGCTACATAAAACTACTACAAAACTCAGCACTATTCTAAATGGTTTATCTGGCTGTTTTCTTACTAAATTTTCCTCACCTTTTTACAACAGTTTGAATTGTAACGTAAAAGTTTTACTAAAAGTTTGGCTCCCCTCCCCTTGACCCCTCCCTGCAGACCTTCCTTTATTATGGGATGAGGTTACCCACAAATTAAGTTTTAAAGGACTGGAATTTTCAACCAGCATTTTCGGTTTTCCATCATCAAGACAACATGCCTCCTTTGGACAAAAACTTTGGATTCGAGTATTATCACCAACTGAACTTGACTTTTTTCCCCCCAAATTCAGTTGCTTTTTTTGTGACCTTGCCTTGTTTTTCAAGATAAGGTAACTATCAGTGTCCTCCAGACTCTGAAGTATGTTGAGAATTGCAGAAAGAAGCAGGGATTGATGTAATTAAGCAGGATGAGACTGAGAGGCTCATTACAGCTACTCTGGTTACACTCTGGACCAGATGGGGGCCAGACACTGCTAGTGCTACCCAATACTGACCACTTGCTAGAAGTACATGCAAGCTCCTCTCCCTACTCTAAAACAAAACAGAAGTCCTCTTTTCTACATTCTCATACAATAATTTTTGCAAACAGATCCATCATTCACACACAGCTCATGAGCATAGTAATACAACTCTCACCACCAAATGAATTAATCATTTTCAATACAGCAAAACATGTGTGAAGTTGTACCACCCCCTCCCAATGACATTATGGTACAGCCCAGAAAAGTTTTCAGCTAATTAGGACCTTCCCCTGGCAGGCAGCTAATGACCCTACTGGGGAAAAGTTGTGGAGACAGCAGGGTTATTTGTAGGCATTTCCACAGGGGCACAAGGAGGGACTGGACCTCTGGTCTGTATTGATAAGGACACAAACAAGGAATTTGCAGGAATCTACAAACAAATTACTTCACCAAAGGTAAGACCTATTCTCCTTTCCAACTTTGAAAATGATTCAACTAAAGCTGGTAACAAAAAGTATCAACTTGAAGGTAAAAACAAACTTCCACTGTACGGATAGTTCACTTTACCTTCCAGAGTTAAAAACCAAAAACAACAATTTTTAACTTTCTATTCATGTTTCATGCTGAAGATTTTATTCTGTTGTCTATAAAATGCAAGATTAGCACTCAGAAGTGTTCTACGGACTGTTTTGTGGCAGTGATGCAGGAGAACACTTTACAGAGCTTAACCTCAAGTTAGGAATCACTCAATTATCCAAGTAGCCATCTGGGTTTTAGCTTATAACTTCCTGCTGATGTGGATGTAGCTGTACTCATGACCCTGTGGGCCTTTTGAGGACAAGTATAAGTTGAAGTAGTAACAGAACTGAAGCCATGCAGTAGTGTATAAGATTTTTTCTTCCCTTGTCACTATCAGACTGTCCAGTGCAGGAGGCAAAGTCTTGCCTGAGGAGTGAATTTTTCCTTGTCAGGTTTTTATAGAACAGCAAAGCTCAAGCTTTCTTCTTGCAGAAAAAGAGTGTGGGGGTAACATGTTGAAAGCATCTGGTGAAAATTTGGTGCGTGATATAAAAGTGTTAACTTTGACCACATGGCGTTCTCTTCAGGCCGCCCAGCATTACAGCTGTGAAGTTGGGAACAAGGAGTGACTGCCGACATCTAAATCACTTCAGCAGAAGCAAGTCTGGTTAAAACAGGAGACATGGAGACAGCCTGGGTGATGCTGGTGTGTCTGATGTGGGGAGACTGGGCCGTCATGTGCAGTGGGCAGTTGGAACCCCAGGATGGACAGTGGCACTATGTCAACGGGGATTGGACATGGATCTCAACAAGCACTGCAGACAAACCTGCCAACAACGTTGCACAGTGGGCGGGCTTACGTGACAACGGTCGGTCAGGTTCAACCGGCGACAGCAGACGCGTGGAACAAGTGACCTTTGTGGATGAACAGGGACAAATCAAAGATGGCGGGTACTTCAAGAAGATTCCGCAGTCTGGTCCATACCACGACATAACGCACGACAAGAAAACGGAGAAGGACAGTGAGAAACACACAGAGCCGTCTCACAAACAGCAAGGGCACATCCCAGAAAACTCCCAGTGTGTGACAGGCATGTTGCCGGTACTGTTCATGAATGGGGCATTACCCAGCAGGCAGTCAGACGACCTTCAGGGCACGCTGAACGACGCGGCCGCAGGGAACGGTAACGTACCCACAATGCCTGTCTTCTCCTGTCAGAAAGGCGACCCAGGACCATCTGGCCCCCCTGGCAACCCCGGAACACCCGGGCCATCGGGTATCCCGGGTAACCATGGCAACAATGGAAACAACGGGTTGCCGGGGGCAACTGGACCTCCAGGGGAGCCAGGACTGAAGGGTGACAGAGGCATGATGGGAGAGAAGGGGAAAACAGGGGCACCTGGGATTCCCGGGGTCCTGGGGTCAAAGGGCAGCCGCGGAGAGAGAGGCCCGCCCGGACAACCGGGTTCCGTAGGGACCATGACGACCAAGACGGCGTTTTCCGTGGGTCTGACCGTCGACATGAACGTGCAACGGGACACGGACGTCGTCTTCGACAAGGTCTTCACCAACATCGGCGGCGGGTACAACGTCACGACGGGGCGCTTCGCCGCGCCGGTCCACGGGGCGTACTACTTCAGCTTCCACGGGTACGATTACTACGCCTCCTTCAACATGTGGGTCAAGCTGCTGCACAACGGGCGCGAGGTGGTCTCCATCATCGACTACGACATCGACGACACGCACGACACGGCCAGCAACAGCGTCATCCTGGAGCTGGCGGCCGGCGACCAGGTCTGGCTGCAGCTGCACGCAGGACACGTCATCGCTGGCTTCAAACACACCTGCACCTTCTCTGGGTACCTGCTATTCCCTCTGTAAACACACCTGTCAACACACCTGTGAAAACGTGGGATATCTATCCATGGACATTAGAGAATGTAGTCATTTGTATGATGACCACAATTCATAATGTATGGTAGATGGTAAACAGTAAACTTGCACAGCACCAGTCCATGTGTCAGAAACTGTTTGAGTTTCAGGATAGATCTGCTGTGAAGGATTCTTGCTGTTTCTCCTCTAAATTACAGGAAGGAAACTCTTTCCTTCAATCTGGATTATCAGACCACAGAGCTATCATGTTAAACACAGATAAATGGGGATGATTGGAAAATGGAGTAATATCACAAGATCGCTGCCATAATTATAGACTTCAACATCACAGGAAAGTGCTTGATCTAAGATCTTTGTAAGTTGAAGAAGTCTGCAACACTTGTTCCACACTGCAAACTTCAAACACTTGTGCATAAGGCAGGAATTTCAGTCCTGAGAACCAGTTTGAGGACAAGGCAGTGTAAGTCATCACTCCTCCCAGACCTAAGGTTTCCTACAGGGAAGGTCTCATAATAAACCCCACATGTGGTCAGGATAAAAGTGATATTTGCGGAGGGGACCATTTCAGAGGCTGAATATTATAATTGACATAAACAAGTAACGTTATATTTTTACTCTATGTAAAGTTTTCTTTGTTCCATGATATAAGGATGTATTAGAGGATGCCTTGTCAGAATTTTTTTTTATGAACTACAGATATATCAAATAAAACTGTATTTCCTTTCTTAAAATTGCTCATTTCTGATTGTTGCCATTTTATAAAGTGATCATGACTTAAGTTGTAAGTAAGAACATAGCAATACTTTGGGGAAAGCAGATCCCTCAATGTAATATAGCAGCTGCAAGCAGGGCACTAACGTATAGTGACCCAACATTAAAGATATGCAATTTCCTATAATTTATAAGCTCCCAAAGTTAAGGGGCAGTAATTGTGACCAGCAAACCACTTTAAAAAATTTAATGACTGGTCTTGGCATCTACTTGTGAAAATGTTAGTCCCTCAAGTATCTACACATTGGTACTAAATTAGTAAATAGAACATCTTTGCAGGCTAAATTCCCAATTAAGACATGATTGTCTCATCTTGCACAGCTGGAGTGCCTTAAAAACATTGTAGACTTGATTTCACCAACCCTAGTCTTAAACTAAAATCCAAAGGCAGGCTATAGTTGGTCTTCAGGTCAAAGAATTATTAAACTTTTTAGAAATCATAATACTACTTTGGGTCATATCTTGATCCATGATAACCCCGATAAGTTAAGATGTCACTCATCACGCCACCTGTTCCTTTCCTCAGTAATGTCTTCATTACTAGACTGCACCCCTTGCCTAAGAACTTCCAAGAAATACTGAAGACATTTCAGGCCTCGAAATTAACTTTTTTTACAATTGTCCCAGAACTGTTTCAAAAATAGATTTCAATTGTCCCGAACTGAGGATGGACTGTCCCAGCCTGCTTTTCAGGAAATAAGTTTATGACAACAATAAGAAAACAACAACAACTGAATTAATATTTTGTACAACTTGAAGTCCACTTTATTGGTACAGTAAATGTCCATCATTTTCCTTGACTGTAGGGAAATGAATGATAGTATCATGGGAGCAGCAGCATCTTCAACGCCCCTCTCCCCATGCAACATTTGGAATCCCCGATTGGTCAAATTTAAATGTTTGTCAGAGTATTATGGGCCGGCAGCCTGCAGCAGGATGAATGGATCATGCTCCTAAATGACATGGACAGTCTCAGATGAGAATTTTTCAATTGCCCCGAAATTGTCCCGAAATGTAATTTGAATTGTCCCAAGCTGAAAATTTAGTGTCATTTGACACTGGGACAATGTTAATTTCGAGCCCTGCATTTTAGAAACATTGTTATTTGTAAGAATTATCCAAGACAGAGTTCCTTCAGTCAGGATGCTGCCAGGAAAACAGCACAAAACAGTGTCAGACTTATTATTTCTTTGTAGAAACTTATCAAATCTTGAGTTAAGTTTTGAAAAATTGAATGGAAATGTCTGTTCACCTTGTTAAGAACTTAAAGAAGTAAGGAGAATGGTCTTAGCTTAAGATATCACATTGCATGTCACCTGTGACACTTAATATTTTGTTTATTGGTATCTAATGATCTTTCTTCATTAAATAATCACAACACTGCTGCTCAGGGCTAGTCTCCCATCTAAGATTCCACGGCCGTTAAGCCTTATTTCCTGTTGAAGTGTGAAGCCTGATGAAGTAATCCAGTCCAGACTGGTCAGCCCTTGAACTGCTGACATTCCAGGATATTATCCACTTTGTCTGCAGACATCGAACCTCCCGGGCACTATCCCTGCATCTGTTGTCAAACTGGCCAATTACACAAATTTCCTTTAGCAGGACCCTTCAGTATATTACTGTTGTCCAGTTGCTTCTTCATCCACATTGTCAACAAGACAATTCACTAACTTTATTGTTTTGACATGGGAATGTTGTGATGACTTTGATTTATGGATATGCTTTTGTTTTGACGCATCAGATTTTATTTGACTGTTGTCCAACTACATGTAATCATGCCTTGTCCTGTGGAATAGTATGCTGGGCCCCATTGGAAAGCAGCTTCTACTAGCTGAATGGGCTACCCAGCCATTTTAAGACAATAAATAAATAAATTGGAGTCAAACTGCCCCAAAAATCAACAAAAAGAAAGAAGGTTTGCTAAAAAATCTAACAGGAGTTCTCATAAAGTCATGTATCCTCCTTTTCATCATCAGCCTTGTAAAGGAAACATGAATCTGGCTAAAACCAGCTGTCCATAAAGACATGTCTACATGTAGCCATGTTCCCTATTTCGACTCTTACATGATTTTACAGCAGTCCCACTGCTCCCTACATGACTCCTGTTGCTTTCTTCACATTATCAGCCTTACAAACAGGAGTCTGGGTTAACCACAGTTAGGGCTGAGAATAGACAGACCTGCACTTCCGTGGGGTGTCTGTGTCAATCACATCTGCACTAGAGAACTTAGGCACCTCAAAGCATCGTCTACACAAGTTTAGCTTCAACCCTGCCAGGTTTGACAACACATTAGGACACACCAAAGCAGGCCTGTGTCTACGTTATAGTTATACCAGCCCCTACAGATGTCAGACGATCGGTGCTTCAAATCTTCTAGGAGCTGCGGCGGAACAAAACTTTTAACTATTAATTTATCCCCGGCCAGTAAACCTTAAGGAATGTTTCCGCTGGGATAAAGAGGGGGAAATTGCTCCAAGCTGTTGTGTCAGTGAGAAGTATAATTATGCTGAGAGCCTCCATAGTCAGTACCACTGTAGCAGAATGTAAAGATAGAACCGACACTGCGAAGCAAGTGTGCAAGACTCTGTGTGTGTGTGACTGTGTGTGTGCAAAGGGTATATGTAGAGAAAAGGGAGCACTTTTACTTGGGGGGGGGGGAGAGGATAGCAGGCAAATAAACATATAGGATCATAGCTATGATCATAATCATTCATCATAAAAGGTGAAGCAGTCTTAGCTAGATATGTTTCAGTTTGGACTTAAGTTATTATAAATGAATTAGAATTACAGTGAACTTACCCAACCCACAACTACAAAGAAAGAACCACAGACAGAAGCTATAAGGCTTTAGGAAACAGCTGAAGGGAGGGGTTATTTCTGACCTTGTATGATTGGCTGTTGGACATGGTTGAATGACAGGTAGTACTCCACAGACTCCCTGATGGGGTGACAGTGGATGGGCAGCAGGGGCGGGGTCAGGATCTTGGCTGTGTTTGCCAGGTACTTGCCTATAGTCGTCTCTACTACGTTTGCAATCCTGAAGGAAAACAAGTTTTAACAAGACTTAGCAGAATATTCATCAATCAGTGACTGTTTTGAAAGGTAGCAAAAACGTACTTCCAATTTTTTTGACATCAACTGTACGTCTTGATCACGGAGTGACCTAGTCTCATGAGAAGACTAGATCGAGACTTGACAGATCTTCTAGCCTCCCTGTCTCCTTAATTTTAAAGTTTTAATTAATTGTATATATTGGAACCCCACTGGCAATTATTAAAAAAATATCTTAAAAACTGGAATAAATCCACAAATTTGACTGCAAGTAGAAAAGCTGTTGAAGCATACAGTCAGACATTTAGATCGTTACAGACTGTTACACAGCTTGGCTAAGGTCAGAGGTTAAAGATGAGAGGTGAGAGGTTACCTGTTGATGTGTAGGCTCATGAGTTCATGCAGGCCGGGGTTGTTGTACAGTTTAGCCAGCTGAAGCGCCGTGTTCTCTGTACTGGAGGTCAGGTAGGGGTCAGCACCAGCCTCAAGCAGCAGTCGAACGATCTGCTTAAAACCCTTCTTACAGGCCTGTAAACAAACAAACAATAACAGCTGGTTATGACAATTCTTTCAGGCCAGGAAACAAAATAAGTCCGTTTCGAAAGCCTACCTACTCTATGTATCCTTGAAGTTAGTTCTTCATACATGTAAAACCCATGCCCCCCTCCCCTTAGGTCATACAGGCTGTACAGTCATGTATTCTGGAGACCCTTGGTGGTACATGTACATGAACATCAAACCTAACAAGTAGCTAACTAAATCCACAACCCACATTTAGGACTTCGGATTAAAATACTACTCATTCTCCTTGCTGAACTACATTTTGTTACAAAAATCACTAGTGTCACATCTATGAGAAAGTTAGAATGCTAGGAGACATACCTTCATCAATGCAGTTTCCCCTGTGTACTGTTGAATGTTGACAAATGCTCCACACTCTATCAGCAAGGCTACAGTGTTCCTGTGGCCCTGGGTTCAAGGAAAAGGTGCCAAACTCTGTTACTAAGTGATGTGTTCTCAAACAATATGCCACCACATAAAATATCATTATAACATGCAGAGCTCTAATTCAAAACTTCTTTATTCCTAAGTGCTGAAGCAAGTTACACTACTTGCTGACACAGATGAGGCAAGGCAAGGCAAACAAAATTCAGATGCCGAAACAAAAATTCAGGTTGGCTAGAACACTGGTGTAGCCTGACTACATCATGCTTCTAGCAGCCCTCCCACTGGTCAGGCCCTAAGAGGAGACTTAATGAGCCCCCTCACTCAGTGAGATAGTGTGCAACTTTGTAACTGAAAGCTTCAAACAACTCCTGCAATTAAATGTGCAAAAATTGAGTGTAATAAGTCGTTCGGTGTAATATAGCTAGCTACTGCTGCACTGAGTGCCTGCGAAGCTGGTGTGTTATGCTGAAGGGCGGTTATGTCGGCTATATCGATACAGAACATATGCTAGTCTCTCTGGTATTTATGATGCATGTTTGCAAGAACCTACCCTCTCAGCGGCATAAATGAGCGCGGTGGCCCCGTGCTTCTGCCGGGCATTGACCTTTGCCCCGTTGAGCAGCAGGGCCTTGAGGATCTCATCGTGCCCGGCGGCGGCAGCGAACATGACGGGGGTCATCCCGCTGGGGTCCTCGTGCTCCAGGTTGTACAGCTTGTCCGAGCGCAGCGCCTGCTTCACCGTACGGTGGTCACCGTTCTTCACCGCCTCACGGAACTCCGCTGCGTGAGGGAACAGAATTTTAACAGCCTGTACAAACCCACCTTTAAAGCCTCAAAAAGCCCTAAAGTCAACACTCCAAAACTTGTTTCTGACCTGGGGTGGGACAGTCATTAAGAAACAGAAGAATTGCTAGCAGACTCACAATATTACAGAAAGCAAGGCAACACAAAGTAGCTCTACTGGTCGAAATTCATCTTATGCCTACATCACGCCAATCACGACACTCCAACCCAAATTCCTACAAGGCTCTACCAGTTAATAAAGACACATTCCCTATATGTGGTAGGTCTTATAACATTTACATGTACTAACAAAACTCTACATTATTCTGCTCACCATTGGTGATGTCCCTGGCTGGCAGCTCCTCAGTTTTCTGTTGTGACAGGGTCTGATATAATAAGGAGATATATACATACAGGGTTAACAGGAATGACCACCACTTGCCAGCAAAAACAACACACAAAGTCTAAAGCAGGAAATTGGACTTCATTTGAAATGACAACACTGTTATCCTTTACCTGCCAATCCCCATCAAAAGGCACTTCATCAAGATCAAACTCGTGCAAAACATCACTTTGGCCACTGTCTGGGGGAAAGATATGACCAAACATCTTTATCTTTAATGTTCTAGTACAGGTTAACTTCATTACACAATAGATAAATAGTTGATTGCTGCAACTCATCTTAGAAAGTCATACGTTTTCTACATTATGGTAAGGAATTACAAGCACATTGCAATATCAAAATTGAGGTCAGGTGGACGTGGTTTTTACTTAAAAAACATAATCATTATATTATCATAAAGTTGTTTGTTCAATTTAGACGTTCCACAATGTCTCTCTTTTAGCTGTGCCCCCCTTACATGCATCAAGCATATGACTTACACACTCATGTTCACCACTGCTATCTAATGTATTTGTACCATCTTCCTTCCTACAGAACTCTCAGCAGGTTCTGTCAGTACCTCCACTGTTCTTACCTTCATCCTCCTCATCTTCCTCCACCACTGCTGCTGTCCTGCCTCGGCGGGGAGGCCTCTTCTCCAGCTTCTCTTCTTGCTTTTCCTGACTCTGTCTTCTCTTCCCTCTATCATGCCTCCTGCTCTCCTTCTCCTGGGTTTTCCTTCTCTTCCTCCTCTTGCTGTCAGTAACTTTTGTATCATCTTCTTTCCCACTGTCTTCCTTTTCATCTGCAGAACCGACTTCTTTGGTAGCGACTTCCTGCTTACTTTCAGCTTTCTCTTCTTTCTTAATGGCAGATTCTTTTTCAACATCAACATTTTGCAAAGCTGTTTTCCCTTCACTTTCTGCAGGTCTTTCCCTCTCCTCCGTCCTTGGCTTGGCTCCATCTTTTTTCTCCGGTTTGTCCTCCATCTTTCCTGCGGTGACATCTGAGACATGTTTGCTCATCTCTCTCTGAAGCTGAAGTTCCATCTGACTAACCACATCTTCTATCATGTCTCCTTCTTCTTCAACTTTTGTCTCTTCCGTTTGCTCATGCCGCAACGACCCTTCAGATTTGAACTCTTTTCCTGGATCATGTGCTGGTGACTTTTCAACTTTGACATCCTCCCTTGGATCATGTGGCAGTGACCTTTCAACTTTGACATCTTCTTTTGGTAGACATGGTGATGACCTTTTAGCTTCAGTCTCCTCTACTGCAATAATGTCACCCTCCCTGTGCACTTTCTGTCTGCCTTCTGCTGACGTCTCCTGTTCCCTCTGCGTGGCCTGCTTGTCTTTGACCTCTGGCACCCTCTGACCCTTGACCTTATCTGCATCTGACATCATGTGACCTTGCACTTGGGAGTTGTGTGGTGGCTGCTGTGGTGGCTGCAGGGAGACTATCTGACTTGATGACGCCTGATGAAGGGCCTGCTGGGAGACTATCTGACTAGATGATGCCTGATGCTGGGCCTGTTGGGAGACTATCTGACCGGATGACCCCTGATGTGGTGGCTGCTGGGAGACTATCTGACCAGTTGGTGCCTGCTGAAGGGCCTGCTGAGAGACTATCTGACCAGATGGTGCCTGCTGCAAGCCTATGTGGCTAGGGGTCTGTTGATGTGCCTGCTGCAAGGCTAATAGACTGGGTCGTGCATGCTGTAGTGCCTGCCGCAAGGTTATCTGGCTAGTAACCTGTTGTGGTGCTTGGAGAAAGGCTATTTGGCTAGTGACCTGTTGTGGTGCCTGCTGCAAGGCTATCTGGCTAGTGGTTAGTTGTGGTGTCTGCTGCAAGGCTATCTGGCTAGTGGTCTGTTGTGGTCTCTGCTGCAAAACCATATGGCTAGGGACCTGTTGTGGTGCCTGCTGCAAGACTATTTGGCTAATGGCGTGTTGCTGTGCCTGGAGAAAGGCTATCTGGCTTGTGGCCTGTTGTGCTACATGCTGCAAGGCTACCTGGCTTGTGGTCTGTGGTGGCTGCTGGCAGACTATCTGACTGGGTTGTGGCTGCTGTGGTGCCTGCTGCGAGGCTATCTGACCAGGCCCCTCCCGTCCCTGCTGTGAGGTATTACCAGTTGTATCCGTGCCCTTCAGCACACAGGGCACACCCACGATCTGTGTGAACTTCTCTATGACAGTGTCGGGTTTGCTCTGGTCAGCTGTGGTCTGCCGTGCGACGGGGAGGATGTTGAATGGGATGGAGATGAGCAGCTGTTTGGGCCTGGAGGGGGAGACAGTCTGGCCTTGTACATGTACTTGCTGGGCCAGGTTCTGCAGCTTCTGCAATGAAATAAGGAAATGGGTTAGCTTGAAGGTTCATCAGCATAGGAACAGCAGGGATAAACATATAGACATGTGTCTAACGTCCCGTTCGTTGTCCTCCGAACCATAAAGGTTGCTGTGTGTGGTCGAGGGACCTATGCAAGGCCCAGATGAAGTGCACCTGTACCTATGCAAGGCCTACCCATAGTGTACCTGCACCTGTGTAATGCCTTTAGTGTTTCGGCCAGCTCACCTGCGCTGAAGACTTTGAGTCCTCTGCAGCTGAGGAACTCTCTGACAGGTGCATCTCCAGGTCAGCATCTGGGTCAGGGGTCATCATACCACGGCCAGAGGTGCTCACCTTTGGGTTGTTAGGGGTCGTCACACCCAAATCTGGGGTTGCCACAGGTTCATGAATGTTCTGTGAATCCTTCTTGGCCACCTCTGCTTGTCCTGAGTGTTTGTCATCTGTGAAAAAAATGACAATATTTCATTAACTGCTGTTATATTTATGGCTTCTGATTAGACAACGAAGGAATGATTCTGATTTATAATACTGAACCTGCATTTTTTTCAGCTTGCAAAATTACACGTTGCCTTTTTTTTTGGCAATCTCAAAATGTTTGTTGCAAATTACAGGTAGCAACTGGCATCTCAAGATCAGATCACAAAGCAGAGGAAGAGTACAGATCCAGCACACAAGAGGCCAATCTTGCATCTGTATGAGCATAAACAAACCTTCTCCAGACCTGTTTCTTGATCCCAGAAAAAAAGCTGTTTCCTTCTTAACATTCATACCGAATGCCTTCAAGGCTCACCCTTAAGTGTCTTAAAAGAACTTAAGACTTTCCTCACCTGGTTCTTTGATGTCTTCCACCTCATCTCCACTCTCATCAGTGAAGACATCCCTGGAGAAGAGTGACTCTCTCTCCCTGCTGGGCTGGCGGCCATGTTGGCTGGCTCTGCCCTGGTCCCTGTCTGGTTCAGAGCTGGTGGAGGATCTGGTCTTACCGCCTCGACCACCAGACTTCCCCCTGCCTGTAAAACACAAATAACCAAACATCAACAGCCACTCACTGATGACAACTGTGTGAATCACCTTTTTTAATCCACTTTACATGTCTTTTTACCAATTATCATTTATAAACTGTCTTCTTTTGCAGCTATGAGCCACCAAAAACCAACAGCTTCTGATCTCCACTTTTTGATTTTGACCTTGGAAAGGCTACGACCTTGAGTTACGGCCAAACATTTTTGCACATGACAGATTGCTATAGTGCACTAAATGTAACAAGTTTATACTGGGTGGGTTCTCTTTATATATATTGCCTACTCTGTTACGTTAAGATGAAATAAGAAATCAAAGAGCATGTGAGCTTGTGATATATTATGTTCTTTTTTTGGATGAGGATAAAAGTCAAAGCACCTCTCCCTCTGCCTCTCCCTCGCTCCTGACCACGCCCTCTGCCCCGCCCCCTGCCGCGCCCCCGCCCAGCTGGCTCCTGGCTCCTCCTCCTGCCTGGTCTCCTCTCTGTGTCCTCCCCAGCCTCCTCCTCCTCCTCCTCCCCATCATCATCTTCATCATCCTCATCATCATCATCATCGTCGGCATCTCTGTACCGCCCTCTCCTCGACTGCTGCCGTGTCTTCTTCTCCGACTCTATCTTTGCCCTTCGACCTTTCACCTGTAAAGAGGAGACAACAAAATGTTCCAGGTATAGAATGTACATGTACTTTCATGTACATGAATATTCTGTCTATTGATCTACAGTTATAATGCATCATGTATACCACATATACATATACCTAACAGTACATGTACCCTGTTCTTTTTTTCTTTAGTGTTATGGGTAAATTGTCTTAAGCCTAAGTTTAGGTATAACATATCAGTTTCGTACAGTAGGAAAAAGCTGTATTAAGACTGGATTGTAAGGTTTTATCCACTAACAATGGAATAGCCCCTATTCTTTTTTAAATGTGCAGTATTCACAATATTCAATACATAAATTATACTATGTTACAATGTGTGTGTTTGCTTGTGTACAGTACATACTTTAGAGTACATGTCCCCAGTGAACAGCTCCATGCTGATCTTGCCCTGCTCCAGGTCTCTCCAGAACGTGTCCTTGACCGTGTCCTCTTCCGAGCTGCTGCTTTCCTCATCATCATCACTCCCCTCTTCCTTCTCTCCAGACTGTTCTTCTTCTTCTTCTTCCTCTCTTTCCACCTGTTCATCCACTTGGCGCTGTGGAGGCTCCCTGGGTCATACAGACAATAATGCAAACAGTGTACATATGAAACTAATAGTAGGATATCACAGTTTGACTGTATGTCCAACATTTTTTGATATGCCAAATTCACTATGAATAAATCTATTGTCTTCTATACCAGGAATTCTATCTGATTCATGTGACAACCCATGCATTGTACATAATATGTAAAAGCCTGCATGCCTAAATTCTGTCAATCATTAACTGTAAATTACTTTCTTATCGCATATTACATAGTATTTTGGGTAGACAAGTCTCAGTATTTTTTTTTGCTGTATAGCAGTAAATGCCATACCTGGTACATTGTGTCCTGGTACAATATAGTTAAATAATAAAAGATTATTTGCGAACACAAGAACAATAATACATTGTACAAGGTTTACAGTAAATATGTAAACACAACCACAAAAAAGGACATGCAGCAGGGAGGTGACGAGCATGCTGGGAAGCATGGTGCATGCTGGGAAGTGTACCTTGAGGAGTCCCTGGAGTGGCTGCTTGAGGGTTGGTCTACAGGAGACTTCTTGGGACGACCACTTTTCCTCTTCACAGCCTCCTCATCAGTGGACATGTCTGTCAGACTGGTGGAACCCTCCACACTGGAGTCCTCCAGTTTCTGCCTCTGTGGGAGGGAACAACAGGCTGGGAACAGGGATAGAAATAATAGCTGCATCTGCAGGTTAGGGCAGGTAAAATTGGAGCTGTGCTACTGGTATTTCTGATGTCTAACCTGTGCCTAACCTGCACTGGTCCATGTACTGGGTTTATTATACATGTATGAATTATACATGTATATGTAAGACTTAGTGACATAAATTTTTTATTTGCTGCATTGACTGTTACCACCTACATGCAGTACTAGAGCTGTGGACTGGATTTTGGACTAATGCTGTCTTGTATACAGTTCATAGATTGCAATTGGTGTAATATTTTGGTCTCAATAAAACTGAAACACTAGCATAAACAAATGTAAACATCCTTTTAAGGCCTCATAACAAGTCAAAAGAACAGTGCCAAATGGCAGATTTAGTATTTCATGAATGAATAAAACTAACAAACCGACCTTCCTGCCTGGTCCCTGCTTCCTGCCGCGCTTGGTCTCCCGCTGGGCCACGAAATCGTCCACCAGATCTTCGCAGGATAGCAGATTCTCCTTGGGTTCCCAAGTGTCCTCGCTGGACCCAAAGCCCTTCCATCGGACACGGTATAATGTCTGGCCCTACAGTAAAGATACACAGCATTCTGTTATTTTCTACTTATCTTAGAACCAACCTTACCCAGGTCAGCAACTTGCAAACATTCACATTCTGAGGTGGTCATACGGTGCGAAGCCCGGGTTCTTGCAGCTGGGTTTTTGTAAGTTGTATGGACTAGACGGGGGGATGGTCCAGGTAAAATCTAACCACAGCTCACTACATTGAATACCAGGGTAGCCAAATATACTCTGCCACTGTATGCCCAACTGAAAATCTGCAATACTGGCTGCCAGCTACATTCCTGGAGAAGGCCAATAACCACTGGCCTGACCTGCATGAGTTTAACCTTACTGCAACCACACATGTACATTTAACTACACCACCTGCTGTTGGTTGTTTTCACAGTCATCCATTCTTCAGAGTCTCCTGAAACCACCTTTAAATGTCCCCAGGTACAACTGGTGCAGGATTGTGTTAGCTGCCTGTGATACAGGAGGTGATTATGAATGTGTTTGTGTGTAGTTTGTATGTAATAAACAGCATGTCCTGTTAGTAGTGTCACTGGGAAATGTTAATGTGATCCTGGTCAGTATTGATCAGGATCCTACGTTAGAGTTATTGATTCATTTATGAAAAGGTAAGACATCCAGGTAGAATATTGAGTAATGAATGATAAATCAAGCAACTGGATAAAATGTGAAGGGTCAGATGTTTGTTTCAGATTTTCATCAGTATCTTAGTGAGTTCAAAATGACTGATCATGTAATAACTCATAACAGTGTACATGTGTACCTATAGAATACTAGTAGATACTAGATATAGATACATGTATCTGTCCTTGGTGCTGAACACCATCCACAAGATTTAGGTGACCACCTCTACATAAAGACCACTTTTGGTGTCCCTTATATAACTTACCTGTTGATACAAGCATCAAGAATCCTGTCTACATAGACCAGATTTTATCATATCAGTCCCCTGACACTACAAGTAACCTTTTGGTTTAACTGACTCACCCAAAGTGGCCAAACAACAAGGGTTAAAATTACAGCATTGTTTCTACGTAAATGTGGTGGTGCAAAACCAATTCATATCCAGGTCATAAAAGAGAAAAATGCGGTGAACAATGAGTTTCAGACATATGTGTGAAACACTTTCTCACTGTATGGGGTGATGATAATGTGGATTGGTTTGCAAATTGCAACCTGATTTCTTTCTTTTATTTTGTTTGAAGTTTACCTGAAATGTTTGTTTAAAACCTTTTCACATTACCTGATATCAATATTACAACCTTGGTCCAAAATGCTCATTCCAAGCCTGAGGATATGGGTTAAACTATGGCCATTCAAGCGTGTGCCTGTTTCACACTTTGTAGCTTGAGTGTCAGAAAATGTGAGAGTTACAATGGGGTACTTTTCCATTGTGTTTTGTTGCAAGATAAACACATAGAATTAACACCAAAATTGCATATTAAATTAGGCCAAAAGAGAACAATAGATAGCAGGTCTCTTTTACTCTTTTATGGTGTACACAGCGTTTACACAGCTGACAGTGTCAATGACCTGCAGCACAACACATGACATGTGTGAATAAACAGTAGCAGAAATAATTGTCTGGGTTTCAAACCTTGGAATTCTGGTAAACAGGTTGGAAAAAAAACAGTTCTTGAAAAGAATATATCAACAAAAACATTGCCATAATGGACAAATCAACTGTTAATATTTACTAATCTGAAGTTCTTTTCAAAAGTAATTAAAAATGATAATAATTTAAGAACGTGGCTATTTACACTCCCGGTGTGTAAATAAAATCTATTTGTCTTTTATATACACTCCGGGAGTGTAAATAAAATCTATTTGTCTTTTATATACACTCCGGGAGTGTAAATAAAATCTATTTGTCTTTTATATACACTCCGGGAGTGTAAATAAAATCTATTTGTCTTTTATATACACTCCGGGAGTGTAAATAAAATCTATTTGTCTTTTATATACACTCCGGGAGTGTAAATAAAATCTATTTGTCTTTTATATACACTCCGGGAGTGTAAATAAAATCTATTTGTCTTTTATATACACTCCGGGAAAGTTGATAGGGCAGACATTCGAATGATCTGTCGCCGGTGGGTTATCCAGAGTCACCAAAGGGACCGGGGCGAACCCCGAGTTGGTCTTTGGGTCTGATAGATGCACGCCAGGCCGTGAGGTCGGCGCTTCTTCCGCATGTATTAGCTCTAAAATTACCACAGTTATCCATGTAGGATGTGACGATCAAAGCAACCACAACTGATTTAATGAGCCATTCGCAGTTTCACTGAGACAGTTTAAACTTGCACGTGCTTGGCTTAATTGTCTATACTATTACTAAAGTGCGACATTACGTCTTCCGTGGTCTACAAAAGAGAAGGTAAACCCTTCAGACATAGTGTTAGACATAGCTATAGTTTCCTAAGATGTATTACATTTTATTATGTAGATTTGGAAGTTATTCTTTACTCTGTTTCAATGTTCTTTGTTTATGTCACTTGCAATTAGCCTTTGGCAGGAATTTGCAATAAACTTTTCTATTACTAAAAAGAGACACTGACTCCAGGTGTTTGAGGTCAGCTCCTTTTACTTAGTGACTCTAGTGGAACAAACATACTGTGATCAATGTAGCCAAAGCTAACTACATGCTAGCTTTTATCAAAAGACACTGTTAGTTACAACATGTGTTCACAGTCTAATGTCACTCTACATAACTTTGCTCAAATATCTCTACATAACTTTGCTCAAGATACTTCAGGCCAGGGGTTATCAAACAAAAATAAAACATATAATCTAATGGAACAAACATACTGTGATCAATGTAGCCAAAGCTAACTACATGCTAGCTTTTATCAAAAGACACTGTTGGTTATACAACATGTGTTCACAGTCTAATGTCACTCTACATAACTTTGCTCACAAGTATGCCAGAGTATTGTTCCCCTACTTGCTCCTGGGTCATGCAGGCTGACAAGTCTGTGTGTGTAAGGTTTACAACGTCGAGCATCCAAGTACATACCGGTACATATACTTGCTGCAGGTCCTGAGCTACCTCTGTAACTAACTAACTAGCTAAAATGCTTATAAATTTTGGACATCAGGTCGAAGATTGTAATACAGGTCTAAAGATGACTCATATTCCATCGCAAATTGATACCTTACATGCTAGTGTTATCAGGCGGTTAATGGATAACTCAGAGGGGGACTGGAAGATACTTCCACGTCTGTTTCTTAACAGTTTTGGAAAAGATTTCCTTATTCTAAATATGCAATTTAAAGACAAACGGGATTGTCCTAACATGGAACACATACCTTTGTACTACAAACATGTTATCTGTAGTTGGCACAAAGCGATAGGCAGAAATATGTTAGAACCCGAGAAATGGAAATTAATACAGTCACCTCTATGTAACATCTGTTTGGAAATAGAGGACGAAAACCATATGTTCTTTCAATGTAAAGGACTTAAAAATTTTGGAAAAATACTGAACATCATAATACTGAAAAAATACTGAACATCATAATTATCATAAAAGATATCAATATTGAACATTAATATATGGACTTCCAAGGAACTTACAACAAACAAATGCAGGTAATCATATGATTGGTATAGCACAGTATGCAATATTTAAAACCTGGTGTCTATATAAGGAAAAAAGCTTCTACAAAATAATTGATCCATTCTCTGTTTTCTTAAATGATTTTATGTCCAGCTTAAAAATAGAGCAAAATATATCATACGGAAAAGCAAAAAGAAAATGGGGGGATCTTCTTTACCTGATAGATTGAAATAAACATACTGTATATATTGTAAATATCATCATGTAACATGTGACAAAAGAATAAAGACCACGGCTCTGGGATTGTGGAATATAAAAAATTAAAATTTTTTAAAAAACTAGCTAAAATGTCCGGTGGATGGTTCTTCTCCTCCTCTTTCTAGTCCCTGTACCACGTCTCTTCAGGGGATCGCTCTGGTCCCTTATCCATCAGTTGCTGAGCTGCCTCCATGCTGATTCCCTTGATCTTGTGGAGGCCATACAGAATTGCCTGCAAAATAAATATGAAAGGTGAAATATCTTAACTGACATCCTATGCCACTCAAATGAAACATGGTAAAATGGTCACCTTACTTGGACATGCAACTTGTTTGAGCACAACTTAATCTGGACATGGATTAACATCGACACGTATTGGTAAGTGGCTAAGAACTGGAAGGTTCGGGTCTACAACCGATATTGCTGGTATGTCAGCTTGAGTTTTTGCATTCAGTAAAGTCAGTTTCAAACAATCTGTGTTGATGTACGCGTAGATTGTGCGTCATTAGTTGTCAACCTGTCAGGGTAATGTATGAATACAACATACAACATGTTTCATAATATTTGCTTGGGGAGAGCCCTGCACATAATTTCCCGCTAGTACTGAATAGTCATAAATTTGCCCCCCTCCCCACTACATGCACCACAGAGTAGAGTAGAGTAGAGTAGATCTTTCGTCTCGGTCTGGCCAAGGATTGTGGCTAGTATGGCTTCAAGAGTGACTTAACTAGCCAAGGGAAATTCCTGAGCTACAATGAGAAAAAAATCGATGTATACTCACGACTGATTTGGCCGGATTCCCGACCCTGACAGGCGCGGCTTCCCGTAATGAATACATCCAAACTTCACCGCTTTATAAACATGAGCACACGGAAACTTTTGGACGCCTTCAGGTAATTTCCTGTTCTCAGTTTCCACCTTCTTGCTACTGATCTTACTGAGCTCAGCGTGTGTTGTTTCTTGATAGTTGTCCAGTGCTGCCTTAAACTCTGCCCAAGTGAGAAATTCGTCCCCTAACTTCAGTAGGGACGGCGCGGCAGCCATGTTGGCGCGAGAGACCAGGCCAGCGGGAGACGAAAAATAGCGGGAAATCCCTGTCGAGTGCTGATTGGCTGACATTCTGGTCGTAGGTCAAAACCCTGTGTTTTCGAACTTCGGTGGGGATTTCCGCGTTGTTTTCTGATTTTCATCATCCACTAAGATAAACTTGAACACCGAGGTTTAAACTTGGTGCCCCTGAATCCTCAAACACTCACAAAAACCCAGGTTTTGGGCCTACCAAGGAGGCTAGTATTTCGGAGTGTATATAAAATCTATTTGTCTTTTATATACACTCCGGGAGTGTAAATAGCCACGCCGATAATTTAATACTGTCACAAAATACTTTACAGTATTGGTAAAAGGCTATAAGTATAACAATCGTAATTAATTATTTATGAGATTGATGACCTTGCAATTAATTAGATGTATGTATGCCCAGCTGCACTTTTTGTGTGACAAAATATCATATACACTGCACTGTAAATTTATTTACTTTTGCAATGGTTGCATTTTGAAGTTGGAGGGAGCAAGATATTTTTGCAGTGTTTTAATTTCGCACTTGAAACAATTCCGTACCACAAATTATAGTCACGCATATGGGCATATCTAAAATCATAAAGTACTAGTAGTAGTACAAGTGCCCAACAATTTTGGTAACGCTGTGGAATACTAACTAGTAGTAGTACACATAACCATGCATAATTTATCAGGTCAAACATAACTAATGCCAAACGTACGGTAATCTAATAATGACTATTATGTGTCCAAATTAATTCATAACTTAGTCATGCATGTACTGAACTCAGATAAACAAGGATAATAAAAAGCTCCTTGGATAAACAAGCTCACATGTGCATGCAGCTGGCCATGTGTTCATATAGCACACCCGTCCTATAAATGTGACGCCTGCTTCGGGTTTGCTGTTTTACCTGGTAGGTGGTGATGCCCACAATCTTCTCCACTTCAAACACATCTTCCTCCTCGAAGATAGAAGGATCTAGCCCGTCGTCTTCGTCAGTTTCTTGGCCGGAGACGTTCCCTCCTTCTTCCGCGCTTCCTTCAGATTCCGACGCCATCTTGGACTAACGAAAATAAAAATACGAACGCACAAGGGAATAAATATTCATGAAAAAGAGCGCCAAAAGATGCATTTAAACATTTAACATAAGACGCTTATATAAGATAAATATGTTTATTGATAAACTGTACATGAAAGTTTAATTACGTGACGATGTGACCTGTATGAAAATTCATAGTTTTCTTACATTTGGATGCGACGCAAGCTCAGTGAGGTCAAAGTTGACATTTTACAAAATGGCGGTTTTACGATTCGCTGAGAAACTCGGTAACATAAAATCACGTTTTCCGTGAAATAACAACGCCAAGGGTCGAGATATAGGTAGGAAAAGTCACGCACATTTCAAACTGATGGAGGTTATTGGCGCATCGTTGCCGAAAGCCGTTTGCTTTGCCTAAGTTAGCGGGATATTATGTTGGATAATCTCTCTTGGAAGTTGCATGCCTGGAGGCTGGAGCTATAAATAATGAGTTTTGGTGGGAAAACTACATATTTTGAAGCGATGTTATTTCTCAGTAAAGGAAATGGCTTGCCTTACTAATGCTCCTTTGTACGTGCTATGTGATCAGCAATTTTGTTGTTGCTCAAATTTATTTATGCCCCCCCCCCATGCAGACCTATCACCAAAGCTACATGATGATATGCTAAATATATACTGTAGCTTAGTGCTATTATTTTGCAAACTCATCGCTGTCACTATTGCTATAGTAGATAGTAGATAGTAGATCCTTTCAGCCAGGTAGGTATCCATCCAGTTTAGGCTGCTCGTTGCTCTACCGGACTGTCATTCCCGGCCTATGCGGGCAATCCAGGGCCGTGTGATTGTACATAATTGGATGACTCTCCATGTATTTATCAAGTCTGTTCTTGAAAGCATTTACCGAGGGTGCAGAGACCACTTCTTCAGGAAGACTGTTCCACCAGTTGGCCATTCTGCTTGTAAAGAATAATGCCCTTGTATTCCCCTTGAAGGTCTTCCTTGTTATTCTCAAGCTATGACCTCTTGTCCTTGAATCTGCTTTTTGTTGGAACAGGTTCTGTGTGTCAAACAGACCATGCATGTATTTGTACGTGTTGATTAGGTCTCCCCTAATTCTCCTGTAGACCAATGTTGGGAGTTTCAGAGTTCTGAGTCTATCCTCGTAAGAAAGGTTGCTCAACCCCGGAACTCTTTTTGTGGCCCTTTTTTGGACTTTCTCTAATTCAAGCATCAGATTCTGTCTGTACGGAGACCAAACAGAGGCTCCATATTCTAAATGTGGCCTAATCAGGGCTTTAAAAAGCAGGAGAAATACTTCTTGATCGATAAACTGAAATGTTCTCCACAGTAGTCCTGTTAACTGGTTTGCCTTGTTTGCAATTGTGTGTATATGGTCCTTAAATGTAAGGTCTTTATCCGTTAATATACCCAGGTCCTTCTCCGTAGTCGTTGCTGCTAGGGGGATACTCCCAGATGTGCCTGCCATTGTGTATTCAAAAACTGGGTGCCCCTTTCCAATTCGAAGGACTGTGCATTTTTCCGGATGGAATTTTAGTTGCCATTTCATGGCCCATTCTTGAAGATTTTGTAAGTCCTGTTGAAGACTTTCACAGTCCCCCTTCTGTACCACTGCTCTGAATATTTTAGTATCATCTGCAAAAAGCCTCAACATACTTGTTGCAACTTCAGGCATATCGTTGACGAACAACGTAAAGAGAACAGGACCGAGAACACTCCCTTGAGGGACTCCACTCACTACGTCTGCCCATTCTGATTTACTATTGTTCACACAGACTCTCTGTTTTCTGCCCTGCAGAAAAGAACTGATCCATTGAAGAATATTCCCTTTACATCCGTAACTCTCAATTTTGGCTAACAGTCTCTTGATCGGTACAGAGTCAAATGCTTTTCTAAAGTCCAAATAGATGGCATCCACTGGATACCCCTGGTCAAGCCAATCAGTCCAAAAATAAACATGTATATCTTCTATACGTGTCTTTAAAGACCCAACTGCTCTCTGTTTTGCTCCAATACAATAGGCACAGTCGTACAATAACATTAACAACACATCATGACCAAGACCAACTCCAAGAAGGACAAAGACAAGTCGCAGGACCCCCTGCTGGCACGGCCCTACAAAGTCAGCCATCAGACACTCTGTATCACCGGGGTCAACTTTAAACACAGGGCCATCATTGGCTATGTGGAACTCACCATCATTCCTCAGGTCAGCGCTCATCAATTTGCAATGTCTTTTCAAGATAAGAGAAAACCTGTTTTTCAGATTCCTTCATTACATGTAACGTTAGATTCAACGTAGGAGACTGGAGATAGGACAATGGGCATTCATTAACTTTTAACATAGAATTAGTACACATTTATGTACTTTGCTTGTTTACCTATGAGAAGTTTGTTGTTTCTGTCAGTGTCAGGTTTTAAAAAGAAAAAGGAAAATGATAAATAGATGTACAAAATATAGATCAATAAGATGAGACTGGTGTTTCTTTAAGAAGGTAAACACATTCTTGATTCCCAGAAATACTGTGGTATACATTGTCACAGTATTTCTGGGAACAGAAATACTGTGGTATACATTGTCATGTTCTCCAGAAAACCATGTTGACATATACTAGTAACACCTGCTTCTTTTTGTTTCGCAGAAATCTACACTGTCGCGTGTGAAGCTGAACAGTAAACAGTGCCGGATCTACCGTGTGACGGTGAACGGAGCGGAGGCAGCCTTTGACTACAGCGACCCAACTCTCGAGGTACTAGTGAACATTTTCAGGGCCTAACACAACCCTGGCTCTTACAGCTCAAAGGTTCTTTTAGATATATAATATGTCCTCTCACTTGACCTCTTAGTTTGAAGTCCCAAGTGAAACTCTTTACTAGTATGACTTTAGGGGGCCAGCCATTCTTTCTTGAAATTTTAACCCTTGGAAAAGCCATTTTAAGGATCTAACCTTCTCCCTGCTGCCTAACTCCATAATCAATGGAGAACTGGTAGCCAGATAACTACAGGTTAAGTGAAAAATTTCCTTTTAAGGAGTGTACAACATACAAGAGTTAAAATTGAAACAAATGATGCAGAATGTATTTTCCAGGCAATAAGCACACCCCAAATGGAATGTTCAACCTTTTTGTCTTGACCTTCAGGTATGCCAAGGTGACACACGACAGCGGAACCTGGACTACTTCTCCACGTGCCACGTATCAGCGGTGGGGTCTGTGGACTCTGACATGGGGAATGGTGAACTCAACATCCATGTTCCACACGAGGTTTACTCTAACGTGTCAGAAGGTCGACCTCTCCAGGTACACAGAGGTTTACCTTGCTGTTACAATTATGAATGTGTGTGCAATAATCAATTAAACTTGTAGCTTGCTTTGTTCACAAACTTATAACTGAACTCTGAAGATGAATTTATATGATTTCTCCGTCTGGTCATGTGTCAAATCACTCATTTGAGTTTGTCTATGGAAACAGCCCCACTTCTAAAGATGTGCTGATACAAGTTTAGAGAAGCTGAAGGCCTGCAGTTTATAGGTCAGGGGTAGGGGGCACTACTGTACATATAGAAGTAACCCTTTTTTCTCTCCCTCCCAGGTCAGTATTGAGTTCAGTCTGGAGAAGCCAAAGGGCGGACTGCAGTTTGTTGTTCCTGACATGGAAGGAACGATGGCGGAACGTGGCGCTCATGTCTTCAGCTACGGTCTGGAGAACTCCTCACGACTGTGGTTCCCCTGTGTCGACTCGTACTCCGAACTTTGCACCTGGAAGCTGGAGTTCACGGTGGACGCCGCCATGACAGCTGTGTCCTGCGGTGATCTCGTGGACACAGTTTTCACCGCTGACTCCAAAAAGAAGACCTTCCACTACGTGCTGAGTATCCCGACCTCAGCTCCAAACATTGCCGTGGCCATTGGTCCGTTTGAGATCCTGGTGGACCCCCACATGCACGAGGTGACGTACTTCTGCCTCCCGCACCTCATGTCGCTCCTCAAGCACACGGCAGACAGCATCCACCGCATCCTGGAGTTCTACGAGGAGCTCCTCAGCTGGAGGTATCCCTACACCTGCTACAAGGCCGTGTTTGTGGACCAGAGCTACGAGAACGCCGGCTCGTACGCCTCTCTCACCATCTTCAACACCAACCTGCTCCACACGCCGCGCATCATCGACCAGACCCCGTACACGCGGCGGGTGATCGCGTACGCCGTGGCGCAGCAGTTCTTCGGGTGTTACGTCTGCATGCACTCGTGGTCGGACGTGTGGGTCGGCAAGGGCATCGCCGGGTACCTGCTGGGACAGTACATCAAGAAGTTCTTCGGAAAGAACGAGTACCGGTACTGGATCCACAGTGAGCAGCAGAAGCTGGTGCACTATGAGACAGAGAAGGAGCTGGTCGTGCTGCACAGTAAGGACACCAGTGCCAGGGGGCGCTATTTCCACACACGACATCCCCACACCACGTCCTGGATCCACAGCAAGATGGCCGCCAAGAAGTCCCACCTCATCACTCGACTGGTGGAGCAGAAGATTGGCTTTGAGTCCTTGTTACAGGTAAATTACTAATTGTTTAGTTGGCACAGGTACATGTAACTTACATGAAAGTACTTGTACCTTTTCACTTCAGGGTAAATCAGGTCATACTGCCATGTATCTACCACAAAGAACAAACCCTGTTGATAATGATAATGTTGTGTTTCAGGTTTTTAATAAGCTGTTGTCCCTTGCCACGTCGGCAGCTGGTCAGAAGTTCAGCCCAACCAACTGGTCCAACATGCTGCTGTCCTCCGCCAGCTTTGTCAAGCTCATCTCTACTGTCTCAGGTCAGTTACCAGCTACTATTAACTTTTAACCACTGACCCCAAATCTATATTCCAACTTGTCCAACATGCTGCTCAGACAGTCCTCTGCCAGCTTTGTCAAATTCATCTCTACTGTCTCAGGTCAGTTCAAAGGGCATATTAATACTATTAATTAAATATATAACCTCTAAACTCTTACCAAACTCATATCACTCTCAAAGATGTCAACCCTGAGACCAGACTGTAAGGTTTGATCCACTCACTCTAGGAAAGACCACTACTATTTTCAAAAGTGTGGAAGGATCTTTAACATCTTCGAGGTGTGGCCCTCCTCAAACATGAGGCCTTCAGTTTTACATCCTATTTCAGTATTTGGGAAGATGTTTTTAACGTTAGGTAGTACTTCAGTACTCATTTTTACCTGAGTCAAGTAAGGAAAAAGATGACTGTAAACTTAAAGTGCCTTTCCAAAAATGCTATGGCTGCCATGAATTCGAACCCAGAACCTCAAGCTTAAACAACCTTTAAGCCACAAGACCACCTTGCCAATGTTAAGTTCATAATATTTTGTTTCCGTAGGCAAGGATATCCACTTGCTGCTGGACCAGTGGGTGTACCAGGGAGGAGTCGTCCATTTCAGTGGCAGTTTTGTGTTCAACAGGAAACGGAACCTGGTGGAGCTGGAACTCAACCAGAGGGTGGGCGAACATGGGATACAGAAATATGTGGTAAGTACTCTTTATATATATATACACCAAGTATACTAATTGGTAACTTTCGTAAGATCTTTGGTAAGAACTAAGAACATGGTAAGATATTTGGTAAGATGATAATAAGATCATGCATTGGCAAGATATTTGGTAAGATACATTTATTTGGTAAAATGAGTAAGACCACATGTGATGGTAAGATCTTTAACTTTTATTTAATAACAAATAGATAAGCTAGTTTCACATTCAATAATTTTTGACTCACTGAATCAATCTTACACATCCCAGCCATGCTCCAAATTAAACTCAATATACGGATAGTGCACCAAATTTGGTAAAATAATTGTATAATATGTTGTAATTGTTGTTATTGTTATTTGCAAATGTATTGCGTTGTTTGTTAAAAAACAGGATTGTCTGAAAAACAGATCAAATGACCTGAGTGCAATTTCCTGTATAAATGAATAAAGTGAAGTGAACTGAAATCTATGCCTTACTACAAAGAAGTGTTATCTCCTCAGGGACCACTGACTGTCACCATTCAAGAGCTGGATGGATCCTTCAACCACTCAGTCCAGATCGAGGACAACACCACCAGGCACGAGCTTGTCTGCCACTCCAAGAGTCGCAGGTTCGATTCCCAACTTGCAAATTTGCCATCAAGTTTTTATGCAGAAATATGATGCTGGCTATTGTACATTTTCTGTGTTTTGATATTCAGGAAGAACATAATTATATATTACATGTGTCTTGTGCAATGTGAACTGGTTGTCAGTAGATTTGTAGTTTAACATCTTGCTTTGTTTGCTAGGAACAAGAAGAAGAAGATCCCCCTGGTGAATGGTGAGGAGGTAGACATGGACCTGAGCACCATGGATGCAGACTCACCTGTCCTCTGGATACGCATCGACCCACAGCTGACGCTCGTTAGAAAGGTTAGAGGTCACAAGTAGTACACTGAGTCTCAAACATTCCTGTCTGTCAGGAGGTCATAAATTATTTGGTACTTCAGTTCAATGCTTAATTTTTTTTCGCTTGAAGAAAAGCTTCTTCTCATGAACAATGATGATGTCTAGAATGTATTGTACTTTTAGCTGAGAAGCATAATTTGTATAATGATTGTTTATTACATTTTTTGTTATAGTCCATTGGCAACATCTCTCTCTTCTCATCTTAGTCTATTTGTTCAACCATTGGGCCACCCTTCTCGGTTTTCCATTAGCAACAAGACTTAATGTGGCAGTAGCTGTCACGTTCGTTTATTTTTTGTTTGTTTGTTCAGGTTGAATGGCAGCAGCCAGACTTCATGTGGAAGTAGACTATAGCTAGCTGCTGAGTGTGAAATGTTTGTTTATTTGTTTTTGTTTGTTTGTTTGTTCAGGTGGAGTGGCAGCAGCCGGACTTCATGTGGCAGTACCAGCTGCGTTACGAGCGTGACATCATCGCGCAGCACGACTCCATCCAGGCGTTGGAGCAGTTCCCCACGCCCGCGTCCCGCCTGGCACTCACCGACATCCTGGAGAACGAGAGCTGCTTCTACCGCGTCCGGATGGAGGCTGCCTTCTGTCTCAACAAGGTGGGAACCACACATACTATTACAGGAACTATGTTACTTATGTCTATGTAATTTGTGCTATTTTTTGTGTCTGTATGTATGTATGTAAGTCCCATAACCGTGAACGGTTGGGGCACCATGACAGCCAGCAGCATGTCTGGACTTGTCACGATGTGTCAGTGAGCACTCATTGTGAATTCGAGGGGATTCGGTTGTCGGTTAGCTGAGGAATGAATCCCCTCGAATTCACATTGCATAGTGAGCACTCTACCCACTTGGCCATTGTACCCGGGTTATTAATTCAGGGACATCTGAAAAACACTAGTGTTGATGTCTCGTGATTGTTTTGCAGGTTGCCAATGCCATGGTGAGTTCGTGGATGGGTCCCCCTGCCATGATGTCCATGTTCAAGCGCATGTTCTGTACCCAGATGTACACCAACCTCATCAAGTGTAACAACTTCTCCAACCTGCAGGTCAGGGAGAAAATCACTTCACTCTATTGTTTATTGCTTCCCGTAGAGAAGATTTTGTGCAAGTTCTAACATAGATGCACATATTTCAATGATCCATGGATATATCATGAACACGGCACAGAACATGATATTCAAAATTGTCATAAAATTGTGTACCCGTCCTGGAGATATGTAAAAGGCATCTTACTTACATGTATCAGGTATGTATACAAATCAGAGAAATATAGAAGCACAAAAGAAATTAACAGTCCGTGTTAGAAGATGCCAGTCCTTACACCCTAGATCTTTTAAACAGATTTCACAAAAACAGATTTCTCAAAAAAAAACTATGTAATAACTAGAAAGGCCAATATTTGCTTTGGAGCAAATACAGCGATGGGTTCACCACATTTTACGACATGGCAGGGAAAGAATGAGAAACACAAGGGAAAACAATGATTTACATTGATATAACTATAATATGAAGTAAAATACAACTAAAACAACAGTTGGATAGCTATTCCCTACTTTATTGGTTAGGATTTTTAATTGCATAATGCAAACTGTTGATTTTCAAAATAAAAAAAAACGTCCATGCCCCGCATTCCAATGCTGGAGCAGGAAAGCTTGAAATACCTACCAAAACACTTGAATACAGACATACTGTCAGTATGGAAATGCGCTGTGCAGGTGTTAATCAAGTTAAATCCCAACAGCCAATCAGCAAGAAATGCTCTGTGCAGGTGGAAATGATCTATGCAGGTGTTAATCAAGTTAAATCCCAACAGCCAATCAGCAAGAAGAATAGAGGAAAGCTGCATGCCTATTGGTTGATGCCCTGCATTCCATTGTGATGACTCATGCCCAAACGTGGTAAACAAGGCACACTAATACAGTAATACATTTGCTATAACACAGCCAAAAAACTCAAATAAAACCATTCTAAAAGCCTGTATCACAATAATTTAAAAAACGCCTAGGGGTATTTGCCCACTGTACCTCCATACCAAATTTCAGGACCTTGGGCCCTAAAATGAAGAAGCTGAATCCATTTAAAAAATGGCAGGAGGAGGAGAAGAAGAAGAAACATCAGAAAAAGCAATATGGTTTCACCACACCACTTCGTGGTGTGGTGAACCCATAATAAAAATATTTGCCTTCAGGGTTACTTCCTGCAGAAGACCATGCCTGTAGCCATGGGAGCGGTACGCGACGCACACGGTCGCTGTCCCAAGGACGTTCTCCAGTTCATCCTGCAGCTCATCAAGTACAACGATAACAGCAAGAACAAGTTCTCAGACAACTACTACCGAGCCTCGCTGATCGACGCGCTGACGGCCACAGTCACGCCATCGGTCACCATGCTGGACACGTCCACAGACTCCAGGACAGAACAGGCACTGCTGCCCGAGACTAAGGTGGGCATCTGGTCGTGTCATCTGCTGGAGTTAGAAAATAATTCCTAACCTTTACCCTGATCCTAGCAAATGCTACTACAATGCTAATACTAGCTTCTGTGTCACCATTCACTCTGAAAGCTCTGCTTTCGACTGATGTTCTTGTGTCACTTGGTAAAACAATCTCCTTCATATTCCTTCTCACCTCTAGGCTGTGATAGAAGATATTGTGCAACACTCAAATTTGCTGCTTTGTTACCAGTTCGCCCTGAAGGTTTTGTTGTAGATTGTTATTAGACTGTGTTATGTTATACATACACCTTTCCCTTGCTCATGATCAATTCTAGGCTGTGTTAGAAGATGTTGTGCAACACCTGAACCTAGAGAAGCTCCTGCCATGTTACCAGTTCACCATCACTGTCAGCTGCCTGAAGGCTGTGTTAGTAATGTTACAGATTGTTATTGTTGTGTTACGCTGTCTTACATTTTTCCTGCTCCCCTCCAGGCCGTGTTAGAAGACGTAGTGCGGCATCTGAACCTGGAGAAGCTCCTGCCATGTTACCAGTTCACCATCACTGTCAGCTGCCTGAAGGCTGTGTCAGTACTGTTACAGATTGTTATTACTGTGTTATACGCTGTCTTACATTTTTCCTGCTCACCTCTAGGCTGTGTTAGAAGACGTAGTGCGGCACCTGAACCTGGAGAAGCTCCTGCCATGTTACCAGTTCACCATCACCGTCGCCTGCCTGAAGGCTATCCGGACCTTACAGAAGAACGGACACCTTCCCAGCAATGCCGCCCTGTTTAAGAGCTACGCCGACCGGGACAGTTCGTGGATGTCCGTCTGGTTGCCATGGAGATCCTGACGGACTTTGTCCACGTGGACCAGGATGAGGAAGTACTCGGCTGGCTGCTGGACTATGTGGAAAATGACCCCATCCCGTACGTCAGACACAAGGTAACAGGAAGGAAACACAACCATGTTTTCTCTTACTATTAAGCTGTCAGCTACATCTACTGTACTGTTTTCCGTCTTTCTAGCTTCATTCAATGGCCACCTAAAGGTACTTCATGACTATTCAATCCTTATTCTTCTGGTATGCTTCAGAGTATACTAGACTATCTTAAACATCATGTATCAATGGCTTCCTTTGGCTACAGGAAGCTTTCATTCTTCATTGATGCTTTTATAATCCTGTACTTGTTGTCATTTACATTGACATCAGATCTAGACTACTCAATGACTTTTTTTGTTGTTTTGTTTCTTACAGCTCCTCCAGCTTCTCCTAAAGAACCCTCCCTTCACCCCTAAGGAGGATTCCAAGCTGAACAAAGAGTCGCTGGTGGAACGACTGTGGACGACGCTGAACACAGGTCTTTTTTTTATTATTTCACAACGATACAAGCAAATGAAGACATTGTATATCACATCACAACACAATCATTACACGATGTAACAGGGGCCATTCCCACTGGCTGTTTTTGGCATTCTACATATGACTATTTTACGGGGTGTTTTATCCTCCTGGATTTTCTGTGCTAAGGTTTACTCTCTAGGACTTTATATACAGGGGTGTTTCATGATCATCCTCTCTTGATTTTCTGTGCTAGGGTTTACTCCCCAGGACTTCTGTGCAGGGATGTCTTCCCTGGGTTTCTGTGCAGGGATTTCCTTCCCTGTGAATTACAGAATAATACTGATGTACACAAACTGAACAGAGGTCTCCGTAAATAATTTCTTTAGGTTGGTAAACGAATGAATAGCAAAGTTCTTTGATCACATTCAACCATTTATTTTTCACAAGCTGATGCTTCAATTACCATCTGTCATCTTCATCAGGGCAATTCTGACTGGTTTACTGTGCACTGACACTAGATGTTACTTGGTGCATAGTGCACTAAAGGTGTTACATACTGTAGTTCACTGTGCACTGTTAATTGAACACAGGTCTGTCGTATGACGCCCGTCTGCGCTGTGACCTGGTGGACCTGTACTACACCATGTTCGGCCGGGTGCGCCCGTCGTGCCTCCCCCCGCCGGAGTTCGGGCTGCTCGTTAACCTGAAGGAGAAGAAAGCTGCAGCAGTTCTACAGGAGGATGACAAGGCAGGCAGCAGTCCGGCGGAAACACATGGGGTCAAGAGAAAAGTGAGTCAGGATCTAGATAGGTTTAACTGTAAGGAGGTAAACCTTAGTTTATTCAGCATTATTATGCGGCAACACGGTCTATTCAAAGTTTTCATATTGACTGTCAGATGGCTGTGGATAGTTACTTGTAGCCACAAAAGTCATTTTACAACTTAACTAAAAGTAATTTTAATGAGATTTCAATATCTATCATACATATGACTGTCAAGTGGATGTAGAAGCTTAGCCTCAAGCTACTAGTCATTTTACATCCTACAACTTACCTGAAAGTAACTTTTATTTGGTATCAATATCTATCGTTCATAATGCCTTTCCAGGCTGAGACAGATCCCCTCCCCCCAACCACGCCCCTCCTGACCCCATCTGACCCCACCCTGGAGGTTCAGCCTCAGGAGGGCAGCAACAAGATGAGGATCAAGATCAAGGTGAGAGGTCATAGGTCATAGGTCATCATAAAGGTAACAGGTCATAGTTCATAGATCAAAATGGATATAGGTCAAAGCTTATCATAGTGAACACAGGTTTTTTTGTAATTAGATCATAGGTCATGGTTCATTAGTTTACTTTGGAGTCACTCCATCAGGTGGGTGTTTATTTGTTTGTTTATTTGTTTGTTTGATCAGGTATCTCCATAATGTAAATTCCAGTTTATTCTTCCCGGAGTCTGTAGTGAATCATTGACTTCCAGATACATGTAGCAGTGTTTGGACATTCACATGTTAGGGCTTTCCCATAAGTTATGTGAAAGGTGTGGTGGGTTCTTTAACATGCATGGTCATTGGTCATAAGTGTCATGTCTGTATCAGCTGTAAGATCAGGCATAAAGCCTTCAGCCCAATGTTTCCTTACATGTGGTATAACCCATGTGTGCTTGTCAGCTTGGTGGAGGGAAGCCAGCAGAGGAGCAGGCAGCGGCCAGTCCTGAGGTGCAGAAACAGCAGCAACAACAGGAACAGCCGGTGACTCCACAGACCGGGCTGTCACATCAGGAACCAGCTGCCAGCAAAGGTATGCTACCGCTGTATTGTAACATATTTTTCCCTTTCCAACAAGCAGAGAGAATTGTTGTTGAGCTCTTGATGCATTTTAGTTTTACATTCAAACTGTATTTATTGCAAAATGTCAACAAAAAACCCTTAGAAACCCTTAGCTACCCACCCTATCTCATTCCAGACTGACATTGGAAAGATATGAACAATTTTATTCCCAGCTGTAGTGTTACAGCATTGGGTTTTTTTTTACTCTACAACCCTTTTGAAGTCTAACTCAAGACAATAATTTTTCAGGCTAATCCTGGTAAGTGTCCTAGCATCATTCTACTCTGTAGTTGCTGATGTTTTGAGCCAAACTCTTGAGAAGATGATATTGACATACTAGTAATTTCTTGTTGACAGTGTTTTCACCTCAACTCTCTGTAGTTCCAGATGTGTCAGCGGCAGTGTCCAAACCCAGACCGGACCATAAGAAGTTATCCAACCACCCCTCCCCCCATCCCCACCAGTCCAGCTCCAAACACCACCACGACCAGTCCTCGTCATCACACAGGCAGAAGAAGAAGAAAAAACACAAACACAAACACAAGCACAAATCCAAACACGGTTCCCATGACGACAGGGGTCACAGTAAACCTGTCAGGTCACCCAGGCCGTGATGCATGATGGGAAAGGTGAGGCCTGGGAAAATTGTACTGTACAGTATTTACATGTGTACAAAATGGGTTATAGAATTTCTTACTATGAAAGTTTCAAAAAAGAGTGTTAGAGATAATACAGTCAATCAGTCTAACAGTAGCTGTGAGACAGTCTAATAGAGACTAAAAGTTAGAGTGTTCTTAGAATTATCTATATTTCGTAACATTACTAGTCAATTTCATTTATTCATCATCAATTAACTGTTCATAAATCATTAATTATTTGATGTTGTTGAACTGACTTCAAAAATAGAACCACACAGCCAATTATGGAAAACTCTGCTAGTCATTGTTGTTTATTTCAAGAGTCATTTTTATGTCACATTCAAATTACAGAGATAAAAATAAAGTCTTTTAATCTTATTTGAATGACAGTACTTCTTGCATTAAACGAGAGTAAATGATTTTAGATACATTATGCATAGAACTTCAACCCGTAACAAATTTCATTGCATAGCCAGATATTGATTACAATGGATTGAACATAAATTGAAACTGAAAATTATTCACAATCATGCAATATATTTACATCCATTATGTACTTCACAAAGTTGACAAACTTTACCAATTGAGAAGGCAACAAAGATGTACACATTAGAACATACTCAAGTTTCCTATAAAAATAAAAATAAAATTTTTCCATATTTCTGGATCATTCCATAACAGCTTGTTCAGTTTGTTACCTGTAGACAGTCAAGGAAGTGAAAAAACAATATGTCCAAGCTTCAACCTGGTACGTACACGAGAGACCAAAATTCAACATGGAGAAGACAAGGGTTTAAAATCTAAGATTTGTACTTTTGGCTGTTCATCTCTTGAGTTTGTTACAGTGCTTGTGACAGCCCTGTATCAACTGGAACCTGTCAAATCCACAAATTTAACTGACTTTACTTTTGCATAAAAAAATGTCAATGTGACAAGCACTTAAAAAAATGCAATACCCTGCAACATAATGTTCACTTTATAGATTTCTGTTACTACACCTCACAACTAACTGTAGCTTAGAAAATCCATTCCTACAAACATTTTACTACAGACATGACATTATTTTCCAACATTGTCCAGAAGCTTCCTTAATACATGTAGAATATTTCACATGCTTCTTACATGAACTTTGCTCTATCATCTGCATTGTACATATAATGTACATGTACCTATAATATACACGTAGCATGTTGTTTCACAAGGTTTGTGAGATCATTGTAGTCAGACTTTGTACATTGAACCAGCCTTTGTAAAACCAAAAGTAAGCTCCTTGCCAATGTAGACTGAAAAGCTTTACAAGTAGAAGAAATTTTCTTAAATTGTGAGACCTGTTCAACTATACAAAAGTGATGTCTGGGTCATCTATTGTAGTCCTGTCCATATTTGGTGTAGCTGACTGCACAGACATGTCATGGAGAGGTTGTACAGATGTATCTGTCACACTTTGGGGAGGCTGTACAGGTATGTCAGACAGTCTTGTAGGAGGTTGTGCAGACGTGTCTAATGCACTCTGAGAAGGTTGTACAGATTCTGTTGTGTTGCATGCACCGTTGGTGGGCTGTACAAGTACCTGTGCATCGGACAAATCTGGCAAAGTTTGGTCAGAGGAGTTGTACTTCTCTGGAGTGGGTGGTTCATCTGAGTACCCAGTTAGTAATGGACAGCCTGTGTTCGAATTTATGGAGTCTTCAGAACTTTCACTCAATTTGGATATATTTTTGTCATCCTCTTGTTGCATATCTGAGCCAGAATGTGAGGACTGTCTTTCCATGTCTACATCAAAGTTAAAATAAGGCTTTGTTGCTGCCGTAACATTTTTAGACAACTGGGATTCACGCTCTGGGCTTTGAGGATGAAGCCAGGCATCCTGATTTGGCACATTGTTACTGCTGTCTGTAGGTTCAGTGTTAACCTGGACAGTAGGCTGGTGATGACCCACTGTCAGGTGTTGTGCTGACATGTCTTCTGTATCGTCCTGATGCTCTGTGATGATGATTGTCGGTGAAGAGCTGCTTCTTGCACGGAAGAGCTCAGGACTGTTATCAACCTGTAGTGAAGTCAATCTGTTGTTGTTAGATGTGTTTTTGTTACCAAGCGGCCCCATCTTAAGACCTTCACTCTTTCTGCCAGATCCATTGTCCCCCTTCTTACCCTTCCTCAACAGGCTGCCAGATTTGGAGGATCCTCTGGATCCAGCAGATGTTTGCGTGTCCTCAGTTTGTCTCCTAATGGTGACCCGTGCTGCCGTGACGAAGGAGTGCTCAGTGGTAGACTCCCGTATGTAGGCCATAGTGTTCCTTTCGGGCGTGACCAGGATCACCCAGCACTTTGGGAAGAAGAAGCATGCCAGGAGCCCGAAGGTGGAGGCGTAAATCGCGATGCCCTGGGTCATCACAACGAACTTCCCTGTCGTCCCAACGTAGGCAGGGATGATCGAAATCCACACAATGAAGAAGATGAGCATGCTGAGGACTATGAACTTAGCTTCGTTGAAGTTCTCTGGCAGTTTTCTTGCCTTGAAGGCAAAGTAGAAGCAGCACATGGCCAGCACCACGATGTAGCCAATCATGACCCCCCAGCCAATCCACGTGCCTGTTTTGCACTCCAGGAAAATCTTGTCTGGCTGGATGTCGAAGTTCTCTTCAGGATATGGGGGAGCGGCAACGCTCCACACTATCAGGACCACGAGCATTCCTAAAACAGCCAGGAAAACTGACAGCAGCTGGATACGAATCCCCAGCCACTTGCGGTGAAGGCTGCTCGGAAGACGGGCTTCGAAGATGACACGCACGCGATTCGTCTTCACGAGGATGACAGAAATGCTGAGTGCGAAACCCAGGCCCAGTGGAAAGGGTCGTAAGATGCAGGTAAAGTTGGTGGGAATCCCGATGAAAGGCAGAAAGCTGAGGAAACACAGTAGGAGGCCCAGCAGCAGAAGGAACAGTAGCTCGCGACTCGACGCCTTCACAACGGGAGTATTCCGCTTCACGATAAACAGTATTGTGATTAAAATTGTCAGAATGGTGCCAAGGCAGATCAGGCAGACGAACACAATGGCCATGGGTTCCGTCCAGTCTAGAAAGTCCACCTCACGGTTGAGACATTTAGTATGGTCCTTGCTGCTGTATTCCCGCTCACCGCATTGTTTGCAGCTGTCTGCATCTGTAGGAGCAATAAGAAGTTGTACTTACAAAATAAAGTAGCATTATAATGTATGTAACAAAAGCAAATTGTACCACACTGACAGTGCTGCTATCCTGCATTTGTCAGCAACTGTTACACTGTACTGCTAGCTATCACAGACTATTTCCTCCATTATTTTTGTTCCTACAATGTAGATATGTTACAGTAACTGTTGAAATGTTGCCTGGATCTAAATTTCAGCATCTTGCTCTGATGTTAAATTTGTAATAGTTGTTGAAATGTTGCCTGTCATCCTGTAGTTCAAATTTTATCTTCTGTAGCTGCAGTGAAGTGTTACAAATGTACATGACATATATAGTTAGTGTGCGTGATTCAATAGAAAATTCAATTTACCTATGGTAGTTGAAATGTTGCCTTCCCCACATGACTGACATTTCCAGCAGCATGTAGGTTTCCCTTCTATCCTCCCCTTGAAGAAACCTGCTTGGCAGGTTTCACTACAGGTGGACACCGGAACCTGTAAACAACAAACAACAACCATTTGGCAAAAGCCACAGCCACTGGGTATGATTCTGTAGTCAACAGTTCAAAATCTGGTCTGTTGTTGCGTGACTTGCACTTAACAAGATACAAGCTTAAGGGAGATCTGGCCATTGTCAAGTCAGACCATAGCTAATTTGGCCAAGTCAAACCTACCTACAATGTATATATATAATGTAGGAAGAGCCCTAACCCTAACAACTGTCAATGGTGTTCGTCCAGCCCTAACTCTACCCAAACCCTAACCCTAACAATTGTCAATGGTACTGGTGTTGATCCTAACTCTACCATAACTGAAACCCTAATGACAGTGGTCTGACTGAATTGTCTGATCCCATTTTTATGTATTACATGTACCTGAGTGTTCGTGATGTTAGCCCCATTGTTCCACTGTATGCTGTGGTTCAGGTCCAGACCCTGGCTCCCCACAGCGTCTGCCACTTGCACAGTCTCCAGCTTCCCGTTCTTCTCCTGCCAGTTCAGGATGCTGTAGTGCGGCGCTGGTTCTCCGTTCTCGTCGAAGGTCACGATCTCGCCCACGGAGTCAGTGAAGTTGACGTTCCGTACAAACTGCAGCAGCTGGCGAGGTGTGATGGCAGAGACATTGGGGCAGGACCTACAGTGATATGAAATATTATTCAGAAAAATGTTGAGAGTTCTGGATGCTGCAATTGTCAGCCCCTATTGCCAGCCCAGAAAAGACATTCTGAGAACATTAAAGATTCATGTAAAGATACATCAAAAGGTACAGACCTATCAGACAGTGGGCTGGTTTCAGGACGGCAGGCAAAGATGTCGTGTAGCGCGTGTGCATAGGCATAGACGGCCACGTATGAGTGGAAGGCCGTTGTAAGCTCCAAGTCGTTGAAGTTGAGCAGCTTTGAGCCATTCAGACTCTCCTGGCGTGTGCAGAGGATGGAGGTGCAGTTCTGGGTAGCTACGTGGATCCCTGGGGTGGGGGTGACGTCACCGGGGGGAGGGGAGGCACATGTCGTGTTGTCGGGTTCATACTTACAGTTGAACTCCTCCTCCCACATGGCCTGCAGGAGTTTGTTGTGAGGCTCTTTAAGGGGGCTCAACCTGCGCAGGTATTCCTTAAAACCCTCGATTTTGCCAGTGCGAAGCTGGATACCCAGGGTGCCGCGGGTCACGTCGGTGAACTGGAGAATGGAGGAAGACGTGGACCAGGCTTCCGACGCAATCCACGTGATGTCGTTTCTCGTCACACGGCTTATAAGAGGTTCTAGGTTTGACCCACCAATGAAAGCAACTATGACCTTCACATCCGGGTTGTTCTCTATTGCTCGAAGGGCGTCATCGATCCCTTCTGACGCTGTGATGTACTTTGTAAAAGCAACACAGATACCTTTGTTTTCAGCTTCTGTCAGGAACTGTTCGATTCCTGGTCGCCCATAAGAGTTGTCGCCTGCTATGGTTCCCACCCACGTCCAGTTAAAGTGTGCAACTACTTCTGCCATGACTTTGGGCTGTTGAAAGTCACTGGGAACTGTCCTGAGAAAGTTGGGGAACTGGGATTTGTCGCTCAGCTTCTTGCTGGTTGCAGCGTAGCTGATCATGGGTATGTCAAAAAGCCCAAGTAGGTTTGCCACTGATATGGTGATGTCAGAGCTGGTTGGCCCGACGACACCTAGTGTCGCCGGGTTCGCAAAGTTACACTGGCAGTCATCGTCGAACCCGATTGTGGCGATGTTGTTCCTGGCTGCAAACCGTAGCGAAGCAGCGAGCGCTTTCTTCACGTGGTTACAGTCGTCAAAGATGTTGTAGCCAAGTTTGACGTCAGGTAGCAGCGTCGTGCTGTTATTGATCTCCTCGATAGCGAACCTCATGGCACTGAGTTCGCGGAAACCACGGTAGCGGAAGTTCGTGCACTGCGCTTCTGTGGCCAGCTGGTTGTCCTGGGCCGTCTGTAGTACAGTGTGCATCGAGAACAACCCACCCAGCATGATGTCACCGTGGTACGACAAGAAGCCATCCATGGCCACGGCAGATCGACTCACATGGAGGCACAAGTAGCAAATCACATATACAGCAGCACTTACAAATGTTCTTTTGCAGAGCTGTAACATTGTGGCTGATTTTGATTCCTTTGCACAAAACTAGTCCTTATCTATAGTTTCCAGCAAGGCTAACTTCACGTGATCTCGCCACTTTCCATCTCACACATTCGGATAGTTCTCATGTCAAGGCAGTCCTGCACATGTAGAGGGAAACTGTTGGACGGGCGTGAACTGACAAGTTTATATCTTCATCTCAGTGCTCAGGGGATGTCTGTGACGTTGACCTACATGTACAAGCTTGTGTGACTCTCATTATGCTCTTATCTGCAAAATGGTTGCTGAGAAGGTGGTCATGATCAGGGCTTCCTTCAAGTTCACACTCCGTGTAGAGTAGTGGTGGAGCACTGTAGAGAGTCAGCAGTCACTCTTCAGATCCTGGGAACAAAAGGAAAATGTTACTTTACACAGTTGAGGTCCTTGGTGAATGTTATGGACTGTGTCTTTCACACCTACAGTATGTATTGGTAATCAGAAAAGCGAGTATCCATCTCCTTGAAGCCTGGAAACTACAGGAAATGTTTACATGACTCACGGTACTAACTGGTACTATCCTTTTTGGAAAATCTGCCAGACCAAACAGGCTGCCTTATAATTAAATTATAACTTTCCAGGGGAATCTGTCCTTCACACCTACATTTGTAGAGCATAGATTTCTCTTCAGAGAGATGATGAGTTATTGCTTGTACCACAAGTGGGAAAATTGATCTGTGAGTGATTGGAAGGTTAATGGATGTGATCTTTCGACCCTGTGGGAAATGAACCAAGAGCTTGTAATATAAATATGTTGGGGACCTGCAGAAAAGACAATCAATCTTAGCCACTGTGAGTATGAAGGACTTTTCTAGTCAATGTCAACAGACTGTCTGGGACATTGCCATTGACAAGGGCATGAAATAACCTGGTGAAATAGTCTGTGTATTTCACATCTCAACTGACAGACTTTAAGAACTATGCATGGACCACCTGCACTGACAGTGCTTCTTACTTCTGAATCAGAAGGAGAAAAACTGATCTGAATTCATACATAAATTTTAACATATTAAGTATATTTGAGATTATATATTAAATCCATTACATTGGTCATTGCTGCTTATAGGGTTTCCAAGCATTTGGTTAGGTCACATTTTGTTTCCAAAAAGGTCATCAAACACAAGACTTTCTCTCATATCTAAACAAGCCTCCTACTAGCTAAATGCTGAATTGTCCCAAAGTCTTGTTAGGATTCTCCCTATACACTACATACCAAACTGAACAGACCCTTTAATGTACTGTCACGTAGTTGTAAAACCACTCGGAGAAACACTGCCCAAATGTTCTAGCCAGGAAGATTGTATCATCCTTCTGTGAAGTTAAACCTTCTGAATCAGTGCACCTTCAGTTAAATTTGTTTCTGACAGCCTACTGGGACAATAGTACTTCAGGGTGGACCATTCCTACAAACCATTCCATCAAGATGCAAAGCCAAACTTTGCTACAAGACTTACTTAATAGCTATGCGTCTGTGCTTGACGTTACTGCTGTAATTACATTTTACCCACAGCGGTCAATGCTCATGTTCCTGTGGTCCCACTGGACCCATAGATTACAGGATACCCATCTATACTATAGATACAAATGGACACAGAGCCACTTTCCAATTTCACTCCTGCCGGCATCAGGTGTTTTTAACAAGCAGAATTCCCACAAGGTCCACAGCAATGTCGTAGTCACATTCATCACAGTCATTGTTACCTGAAGTTCCTGTTTTCCCCCATTGTGATTCAGTTACTATTAGGATGCTGAGAATTTTCAATAGGCCCTTTTGGTTTTGTACATTGTATTTTATTACAAAAATACAGTAACTGTAATGTTATATATTCTATATAAATTTTGAAGGTTTTCTATCATATTAGACTCATTAGATAAATTATGTACAGTTACAGTTACCGTTACGGTAGTGAAATACAAAATCAAAAGGACCAATACTAAGACTTTATTATATATTAGCCAAATACTAAGTCATACTATATCGTGCCCAACTTGCCTATTATGATGCCAGAGCTAGCCACAGGGTACCTACAATATAATGTAGGGCTGCGGACCGGTACACTGTACCGGTCCAATACCGTAAAAATCGTTTCGGTACAGGTCCAAAATACCGGATCATGAAGTAACGAGTATATACCGAAATAGCTAGTTTACACCATGTATATGACTAAAGATAGGTAAATCCTACCACAAAGACGAAAAATTAGCACTGGAAAAGACGTAAACACCGTCGATTGATTTGAGATCCTCAGTCTCACGAGACATCGCGAGAGTGTGGCTGATCCAGGGTTGTGATTGGAAGATACTGACAAGTTGTCAACACTTTATTATTGTTTGTGTCATGATTGAAAATGTGAAGAACACGTGTTAATTTGTCAAATTGTTCAGGTACAGGTACAGGTCCGGACCTGTACCTAAACCTCTGTACCGGTACCTGTACCTGTACCTGATGTTGCGTTTAGGTACGCAGCCCTAATATAATGTATAATATTACATAATTTTTGCATACAAATTCTTTTGGCTTTTGTACACCTCTGTGTGTAATGTGTAGATGTTGGGATAATATGCTAGAACATATTTCTGAATTGATGGACTTTCTAATTATGTGGAGCAGACTGAAGAAATGGATTTTTCCAGTTAATTGAATCCTGGAGTCTTTCATGCTCAGCAAAAAGACCATTAGCGCAAACCAAACTGGCTTTCAGAAGTATGTGTTGTATCTCCTTTCAAGTTAACTAAACCTTGTTATCATTTCCCAGAAATGAGCCGTGTCGGTGCCAGCTCATTTCTTACAAAGAGTCATGTATGTCTCACAAAGGGAACTCTGAATGGCAAGTGGCCGGCTACATGTATGCATGTTCATGCACTGTGGTCACAGATTTTTTAACAATGAGAAATGTGCCTAGTTCCCATGACTAATATTATCTTGTTGGCAGTTTCTCTTCCTGTTTGTCTTATTATGATTGATACTTGTTCTCGACTCAGGTTTACAATTATATTAAGTTTCACGGTATTGGATTCCTAAAGAAAATTGGAAAGACAGGGACAGCGGCAGGAAAGATGTCTGGTTCTGACAGGTGCACAGTAAAATCATTTCCTCTCTATTACATGATAACTTAATATGACAGCACAGAAAGCATATAACAGACTACATAAGACTGGTATTGCCAAACGTATGTTGCAGTGCTAGAAGTTCATTGTGCCTGGAAATATCCCCCCCCCCTCTATCTTTTTCTCTCTCTCTCACTTAGTGGATTGCTCTCTCTCAATCTTCCCCTCTCAATCTCACTATTCACACAAACACACACCTTCACCTCCACAATCTCCAGAGATTAGGACACCCCAGTTGACAAGATAAGAACTGACATTTACAATGTAGACTAAAACACCTGCTCGCAGATTATAGAATTCTTGTCCATAAAACCTTCAGACAGCAACAGTAGAAGACCATGGGAAAAACCTGGCAGCAGAAGTGATTTAGATGTCTTTTAAAATTGCTTCCAGTTCATTACAGCAATGCTATCAATTTGCGTGATAAAAGCCTTATGCATGGTTTGTAATGTCAGTGAAGGATGATTGTGTCCACAGTTAGGACTGTGTACAGTGTATTTATCCTGTGTACTGAGTATCATTATGAGGGTTATGTTTGCTTGCATGTAAGCATACACGTAGTAGCGCATAATTGCAGCCCTGTCACTCTAATCACTCAGGTGAGTAGTCATTATTTTCAGAAATCAGAAAATTTTCCCCAAAGCAACACAAATAGATTTTGACTCATTGAATACAGTATTAAGTTATAATTAAGAATTATGCTGTAACAGTAGCTACCTTGCACATAACCATAAGTCACAAACTACAGGCCTGGGGTACATATTGTACTCTGGTTGTCCATCGTTTCTGATGATGACTTATGATGATGGTACATATTGAGTGTAATTCAAATGACATTAGCGTTGCTTACAGTCAGCTGAAGCATAATACATTTCATACATTACATGACTATTAAGCAAGTGGGTGGGAGTTTAACAAGGCTGGTATACAAGTCATGTGTCTTCAAGTTTCTGTTTCAGACTGGCCTGGGTCAATATCCTAATAGAGTTATTTAAACTATAATTGTGCAAAAGTCATTAGTGAAATTAAAAAAGAAGAACAGTTGCATAATTTTTGTACTAAAGCAACGAAATCTGACCTACTTTTGTGTCCAGTGTCACACCTATGCCTCTTTCATGTAGTGTGTGGGTGTGGGTAGTACTACATGTGTACATGTGTGTGGGTGTGGGTACAATTATGTACAATGTCATGTCTTCCTGTCATGTCCCGTCAGTTACATTTCAGAACTGGCCCACGTTTCACCCCTAACACTTAACAGTACGTACATCATGTACACTAAAAATATTCTAGTGGTTTACATGTAGTTGTCAGAGTACTATGTCCTATCCCTCCAAACTGTTATGTGTATATGCTGGCCAAGTCTTGTTGTTTATTTATGTTTGCCTGGGGGGACAAGCCACGTTCATGGATGACTCAGTCTGTACGTACTTGTCGCATGAGTGATCGTAACCTTATGGGTGTAAATGCAAGAACATATTACACATATCTGACTTCATATCTTACCTTGTTGTTGTGTCAGGAGTCAGGACTATCCACGGTACATGTACGTATGACCCTGCCAAGACGTAGTGTATGTTCTGACTAACCCTGTATAACCAGTATGTCTGCCTGATCAGCTGAGACACAAGTGAGTCTACATTCCAATGAGTCACTAGTTCCCCTGAAGCAATAATTCTCAAATTCCATAGCTAAAACTATCATACCATCGTCACGAGCTTCTGGAACTTTGTAGAAAATCTGAAAAACAGTTAACTCATAATGGCCCATTAAGTTCCATAATGGGTGTGTTCTGTATTTTTTCAACAGGGATTTGGGCTCATAAAGCATGACTAATCTTTTAAGTCTGTTGATTTTAGCCTGCTTCCAATAGAGACTAATAGTTAAAGGACCCAATGTATGAATATTTATTATCTAGAATAGACCAAAAAGACCAAAGTCTCTTAAGATAAGGATACTAAGCCTCAAGGTTTAGTATCTTAACTGACATTGTAATTTTAATGTTATCTAATAGATAAAACCTTCACAGACAACATCTATAATGAAATAAGTTGGTGTTTTTCTCCCTTTCTTAACTTGGGGCATTTTATTTCTTTTATTCCCTTCCATCTCTGTTGCACCAAATGCTTTTCTCAGAATTAGCGACAGAATGTGTGAATCCACAGACAAAGTGAAAGTGAAGGCAAAGTA